CGTTGTTCACAACAGCAGAAAATAGAAACACAAATGCTCATTTGTGAGAGCCACGAATGTCAGCCAGAACTGAGCAGATGCATTGTGGCACCTCTCCCAGAGAGCCCCACACCACGGCGACAATGCACTCACTATAGCAACACCAGCAAATCTTTGTAAGATAAGTTTACCTTTACAAAGCAAGTTGCAACCTGCACACAGATGTTTATAGCAGCTTTACTCATAACTGCCAAAACTTGGAAGCAACCAAGATGCCCTCCAGGAGGTGAATGAATAAATAAACTGGGTTATACAGATAATGGCATATTATTCAGTCCTAAAAAGAAATGAGCTATTCCCTCTTTTCACTTGCCAATTGGTTTTTATTGGTCATTCAAATGAGGAAAAGAAATATCCTGTTAACACTCAAGCAAACTGGCCCTGGCTCAGTGGGTTGAGTGCCGGCCTGTGAACCAAAGGGCCAGGCAGTTCAATTCCCAGTTAGGGCACATGCCTGGTTGTGGGCCAGGTCCCTAGGAGGGGCTGTGTGAGAGGCAACCACACATTGATGTTTCTCTTCTTTACTTTCTCCTTCCCTTCCCGTCTCTCTAAAAATAAAGAAATAAAATCTTTTAAAAAAATAAATGATTAAGTTAAAATGAGGCCAGAGTGGGCTCTATTCCAAGCTGATTGGTGTCCTCATAAGAAGAGGGCAGCATGAGAAGGTGGCCATCTGCAAGCCAAGGAGAGAGGCCCAAGAACCAATCCTGATGACACCATTTATTCTGGACTTCTAGCCTTCAGGACTGTGAGAAATCATTTCTGTTTAAAGCACCCAATCTGTGGCACTTTGTTATGGCAGCCCTAGGGGAGCCAGAGATGGAGGATGGAATAAGGAAAGGGTGACTTAAAGAGTAACACCCTATTCAGCCCTGGCCTGTGTGGCTCAGTGGATGAGAGCTGGCATGCAAACCAAAGGGTCACTGGTTCAATTCCCAGTCAGGGCACATGCCTGGGGTGTGGGCCAGGTCCCCAGTAGGGGGCGTGCGAGAGGCAACTGCACATTGATGTTTCCCTCTCTTTCTCCCTCCCTCCCCTTCCCTCTAAAGGTAAATAAATAAAATCTTTTTTAAAAAATGGAAATGTTCTAGATTCATGGAGACATCACAGCTATGTGCAATGTGGGACCTCGAGGCTGGAAACTGAACTGGAGGGGGAAGTGCACTTGGGTCAGCGGACAAAACTGGAATATCACCAGTAGCTTAGATAAAATAATTATGTAAATGTTGCATTTACTGAGGCTGATCATTGTGGTTGTGGAAGAGAGCATCTGCACTCTCAGGAAATAGGCATTGAAATAGGGGTGAAGGGCCATGATGTGTGTAGGTAGCTAACCCTTAAATTCCTCAACAAAAATAGAGAGAGAGAAACAAAAGCCACCTAGGACTGTAAAAAATCTGCCCACCATCTCCGGACACAGACAAAGCCAGCTGCCAAGTCAACGGGAAATATCTCTCCTAGCGACAGGATGTAAAGTGTCCTAACGACCCCCTTTTGTGACTGTGGCTACCTTGCCCACTGAGAAACTTTGTTCTCTAGTCGAGTACTTTGGAAACTCGACTATTTGAAAGCGTAGCCATTCAAGGGCAGAGAAAGAAACATCCGCCCTGGCTGATGCGGCACACGCCTGGGTTGCGGGCGAGGTCCCCAGTTGGGGGCGCAAGAGAGGCAACAGAGCGGTGTTTTTCTCCTACTCTTGCCCTCTCGCTGAAAATAAATAAAATCTAAAAAACAAACAAAAAAAGGAAAATGAAAAAAAATAAAGAATGAGACATCCTACTCCTGCCTGGAAGAGCTAAGGCACTTTGTCACAGACAAAAAGTCTCAGTTTTCAGCCTTGATGCGAGAGCTGGGCACAACATATACCACATTTATCTTAACTTTGTGGTTTCCGAAGAAACAGGACCCTGAGTCCACTTTGCAGTTCAGTTCAGACCTGATGTTGACTCATGTATTTTTTAAAAGATTTTATTTATTTATTCTTAGAGAGGGTAAGGGAGGAAGAGAGGGAGAGCAATTTCAATGTGTGGTTGCCTCTCACACCACCACCACCCCCCCCCCCCGCCCCGCCGCACTGGGGACCCGACCTGCATGCAACCCAGGCATGTGTCCCGACTGGGAAGCAAACCACAGACCCTTTAGTTTGCAGGCTCACGCTCCATCCACTGAGCTACACCAGCCAGAGCTAACATCGACTCATTTATACACATTACTGCTTTGCTCTGAAGCTATGGAAACAACTTTTCACTTAAATTTCACTCAAATTCCTCTCTTTCACCAAATCCTATAGCTCGATCACAGTTCCTCCACTGGAATGTGGTCTCCTTCGTTGCAATGGTCAGTAAACCTGACTCTAGTTTGTCCTTGGTGATTGAATTAGGATGGATGAGTGGGTAGTGGATGGACGGTGGGTGGATGGATAGATCCATAGATATAAAGCAGTTGCAGTCAACTGTTAACAATAAATAAATCTGGGGAAAGGGTATATAAAATACAACACACTATTTGTATTTCTGTAAGTTATCTGTAACTTCAAAATTATTTACGAATAAAAAGGTTTTCATTATTAAAAGTTAAGTTGGTTCGGACCAGTGTTCAGCAAACATTTTGCAGGCAAAGGAAAAATTTTTACTTAGTAATTTAGTACTTACGCACTCAAATTGTGATAACTCTTTCTAACCGTTTTCTATGAACTTATTTCACTTGTTTTGAAAATGGTTAGGATCTACACATAAAAATTCACCCATATTTTGAAAAAACTCTTTGTGGGAAAGATCTGAGCGCTGGTTACAGTCTAAGACTAAACAAATGTTAGACTCTGCGGCTTTGGGTTTTTCTACCGGTTTTTGAGTGGCTGGACTACATTTCCCATAGTACCTCGGGGCGAAGCCCGATTGGGCGCGGGGGGGGGGAGAAGGGAGTGCGAACTCTAATTGGAGACTGCTGAGGTTATTGCGACGTGCGTGGTCCTAAGCTTGCGGAGTGGAGTGTGTGTGGGTGGGTGGGGGGTGGGGGATGTGGGCGACCCTCACGTGGAAGGAGGGGCCAGGGCTTGCAGAGGGACCTGCGAGGGGCACCCGATGGCTGCCGGGCAACGTAGTTCAGAGAAGGCTTTAGTGGGCTTGTCGCTCAGCCTCCTGGGATTTGTAGTCCTGACAAGCCCGTGAGGCTACCAGTAGTTCTTCCCCAGGCTGAAACATCTCGGTCCTTGGGTCTTTCTCCACCACTTCCCTAGGACCCATGAATGAATCTACCCCAATCAGTTGCTGAGGCTTTCTCTGTTCCGCAGCTCCAAGCTGTCAAAGCAGATGCTCCGCGGAGAGACAGGGAGGGGGCATTTACGAATGCTGCCCCTTGGTTGGTCTGGGAGGGCTTCTCGGAGCAGTGGTAAGGGTCTCATACGCAGACCTGAGTCAGAAATCAAATCAGAATGCTGCGCGTACAGGCGTGCTGATTTGATGCATAAACAGTCCTAGCAAATGTCCTCCACTCACCACCTCAGACCTCTCTGTGTGCTCCCACAACTCTCTCTCTGGGCTGGTGTGACAGACATTCACCAGACAGTAGCATCTAGAGTGAGAGTGTGATGGGGAAAGCCTCAGACCCTGTGGGAGCCCGGGGCAGAGAGGCAGTTAGAGATCCGACTCATCTCAAGGTCCCCAACCTGGCCCTACACAGCCATCCTCCATTCAACCGGCTCCCATGCGCCAGGGTATGCTGGGCGCAGGGAGTTGGTCACACCCAGCTCTGCCCCATAGCGGTACCCCGGTTGTGCTGATCAGTACAGACTCAGGAGAGAAGTCTCCCTCAAGTTTGCCCAGTAGGAAATGGTCTAGGTAGGACTAGAACTTGGGCCATCCAGCTCCAGAGTCCAGGCAGACACAACCGTAGAACTGCCCAATCCACTTAGTTTCCAAAATGTCCAGTCTGTAAGGATGGACTCCTCCTGAGGAGTAGCAGATATTCGTCAATATCCTCTGGTTGCCTCACCCCCACCCTGGGACACAAGCTCAGGAGAAAGAACTTAGAGCAAGGTCTTCAGTTCCCCCACTGACCTCTTCCTGAACAGAGGCCACAACCTCACCCTTCAGCCTCTCGGTCTGCACCTCCTGTGGGAGCGGTGGGGCAGAGAAATGCCTCCTAGAGGGTTTGTGTGGTGCTCACCCCTTCCAAAAAGGGGTGACTGACACTGGTTGACCCAATGGTGACACTATGTCAGGGTCAGGACCATCATGCCAGTATTCGGGGAGACACTGGGGTGATTTCTGGATGTTATCTCTGCCCCAGGGAAAAAAAGTATGAAAAATCGTGGGGAAGGAAAGGTATGGTGTGGCTCATGTTCCTGGGCTCGCCTGGACATCCCGAAAGTCATACAAAGTAGGAGTTAGGATTGTGTCTATGAAAAGGAAACTGAGGCTCAGGGAAGGGAAGAGGCTGGCTCATGGCCTCACAGGCAGGGAGTGGAGGAGGGAACATTGGGAGGGAGGCTACCCTTCCAGGCTGGAAGGTCTTCAAGTTTGTGTTTCAACACAGGCCCCTGGGGGTGGGGGAAAAGGAAGGGAGCGGAGGGGTGTCTGATACTGTTTCAGTACCATCTGGTGAAACAAGTGTGAGACACACTAAACTATATTACATGAGGAATTTCTTGCAAAGCTTGTCAGAGCCTTTAGCCCCTTTGTGATTCCAATATCTTTGATCTGTACCAAGACCTGGGACAATGATTGACCGGCCCTTGGTCCCCAAGGCCCTGAGTGGAGGGCATAATGGGGATAAAGCTGTCAGCAGCGTGTGCACTTATGTACTCCCGACATCTATGTGCAGGAGTGGATGACCACGTGTACATATGCACAGGTGTTCTCTTCTCCATCACTCTGATTCTGGGGCATCCAAAGGCCAGGTTCTTGCCTTTCCCATCCTCCCACGCGGCGAGAGACAAATGCCAAGTGCTTTCCACTGCCCGCTCAAGTCAGATTCCACAAGGCTTTATTGTTGCCGTACCTAAGCCTGGTGCTCGCTGCTCCCAGGAAAAACACGGGCAAGGAAGAGAGGGAGGAAGGGAAGGGCGTTTTCGGAAAGTGCTCGGCCTTGGCAAAGGGCGGGTGGAGGGATGGAAAGACGAGGCGGGGACCGGCCCCGTTAGAAGGGGAACTCGCAGACGTAGTAGAGGCGCCTCTCGCAGTCGTGGTCCCACCAGGAGCCGTCGTCCGAGGCCTGCGCCACGCAGTTCTCCAGCGCGCCGCCGTTGGGCTGATTGGGGCTGAGCGGGTGTGGCGCGGCGCTGGGCTCGGAACCGGGCTCGGGCCGGGGCGCTTGGTGCCAGGCGAAGAAGGACACGCGCTGGCCGTTCTCGAAGAGGTAGAGGCCCTCGGCGCGCCGGTCGTGCACGCCCAGCCACACCGGCCAGTTGTAGGGGGCCAGCGCCGCACGCAGGTAGCGAGTGAGCGCTTCCATCTGCTGGCGGTCCGCGGGTTGTGCCAGGCTCCCGCCCCGCGCCACACACCGCGCTTGCGCCGCCGCCTGCGCCTCGAAGTCGCGCGAGAGCAGGAAGCACTTGTGGCCAAGGCGCAACCCCTTCAGGCAGCCTGCGGGCGGGGCGGAGTCAGGTCCGGGGAGGGCGGGGTGGGGCGGGGTCAGAACCTCCCGGGGCGGGGAGAAGGAGGGGTAAGAGCCTATCAGCTAGAGCTAGGAGGAGGCGGGGCCAGAATCCAGCGAGGAGGAGGAGTCAGGGCCTCCCGGGGCGGTGCCAGACTTCGAGGACCGGACTGTAGGGGGCGTGGCGCGTGTAGAGTGGGGTCGTCTCTACTGCCTCGTGGGGAGTGTACTCCCCCCACCGCCTGCCTGCTCTCGGCATTCACCCTCCCCGCCACGCTAACCTCCGCATCAACCCACACCCAAGTCTCCAGGAACCCCCTCAGCCGTGATGCCCAGGGTCCCCAGACCTTTCTGGGCCCCCTCCCGCTAGTCCCCCGCCAGACCCGGGTGGTCCCGCTTTCCCTGCCCCGCGCAGTGCAGACTCACCCTCTAAGCGGCCACGCTCGCGCTCGGCGCGGCTCTGCGCCTCCTGCAGGGCTTGCACGGCGTCGCGAGTGTCACCCACCGCCTCCCGCAGCTGCCGCAGCCCCGTGGTCAGCTCGACCACGCGGGTGTCCAACACGTGCAGACGAACGTGCACCTGGTGCAGGCCCGCGTCCAGGCCGGCCAGGCGGCCCACTGCGGACGGACAGGAAGCACGTTGGACGGGGACCTTGGTGGCAAAATCGGGGGACCGGAGGCCCTGAGGGGCACAGGGACCTAAGGCCTCTGGGGACAGAGTTTGTGGGGCTGGGGAAACTCGGGGGTCCTAGAAGGTGGCCCTGGGTTTTTGGGAGGCAAGGCTGGGACTTCATGGGGGTGTGGGCGCCACGGGCTGGACAGTGAACAATCGAAAGGCTCTCGGACAGTAACAGGACAGTTCCCTTGGCTGAAAATGATGGCGGAGGCCTGGGGTGCAGGGCGGAGCTAATGATAACTCACAGATGTAAGTGACAGTGTCCTCTGGGGTGGGAGTAGGGCTGGGGCTGGGGCTGGGGCTGGGGCTGGAGGAGGAGATTGGCGTTGCTTCCTCTTCTTCCTCCCCCTGATGATCCTCCTCAGTCTCCCAGGCCCCTTTGTCTTCAGGTGTTCCCTCAGGATGTTCGTCCCCCCTCGCAGCGTCCCCCCTCGCAGCGGGCAGCCCCAAGGCCTCCTGTAAATGCTGAGGCGGGGCAGAGACAGTAGGGGACAACCTGTCTCCCCATTCTGACTCCCCAGGTGTGCCAAGCATCCCTCCCCAGCTGTAAGCTGGCTCACTGCCCTCAAGTCCCTTCTGTGAACCAGTCACCCCCATCTTCTGAGCCTGTCCCATCCCTCCCTCTTGCCCATTTCCCTGACCCCAGAATGCCCCCTCCCAAGCCCACGGTCCTGGTGGTACTCCCCCGCCACCACCCCACTCCTTCCCTGCCCCGCCCCCCCCCCACCATTCCCCAACTCACCTTCAGCATCAGGGCCTCCCTCTCCCGTTCCTCCTCCTGGGCTCCTCCCCAGCCCCCCTCCCACTCCCTCTCAGCTCCCCGAGCCCCGTGGCTGAAGCCCAGGAGCTGGGGGACCACCAGGGCCCCCAGGAGCCAGGCTGCCTGCATCAGGGTGGGCTCACAACACCCAAGGCTGCAGACAAATGTCTCTGGGGAGGGGGTGTCTCTGGGGACTGGCGTGTGTGCAGATCACTAGCCCCGTGGTCCCCACCTCTCCCAGCTCCTCCCTGGTCGCTCTCTTCCCAACTCCTGTCTCTGTTCCTCGATGTGTGTCTCTCTCCGCCTCTCTTGGCTCCCCTGAGGCCCTGCCTCTGTGGCCGGAAACCTCCAACGTTCCAAAGCCTGGATCCCGCCCTGGGTCTCCCCCCACACCCCCCTCTTCCCACTTTCCAGAGCTCGCTTCCGCCCTGTTCTTTCCTTCTGCCCAGGCCAAAGCTCTGATAGTCAGGAAGAGCATGGAGCTAGCTAGCTCTCCAAGGGATCCTGGAGACGCAGCCTCTGCCCTGGAACCCCCTCCGGGGGTTGTTGGGACTTGCCCCTGCTCCCCTCTGTTCCCTGGCCACTCCTCAGCAGGGTCTCTCCAAGGGTTGTTATTACCCTGTGGCCACCGTTGCCCACGCACTCTGCTGGAAGAGGCTTTCCCACCATTCTCAGGCTCTAGGGCGCTTTCTGCCCCCAGACCTCCCATCCCGCCCTCCAGGCTCCTGCCCCAAGATGCAAGTGAGTATGTGGGGCACATAGGAAGAACATGCATGTGGCTGTATGTGCAGCCCTAGGAGGCTGGCCTCTGGGATTCATTTGTCATACTTTTCTGGAAGCCTGCAGGCCAGGCCCTTCATGGGGACTCCAGACAGGCAGAGAGGCCATCCCACTGGGTGAGGGGCTAGGGCAGAGTGGAGGGAGGAGGCTGCGGGGTGGGGGGTGGTTGGGGAAGCTTTTGGAGTGGACTGATGCTGCGCTGAGTGCACGTAGAGCTCTGAGCAGTCAGCTAGGTTCATCATCTCCAGCCTGGACCACTGCAGTCGCTTTCCCCCTCCTTCCTCCCCAGCCCCTCTGATCCACGCTGCTTGCCGCAGCCAGAGCAGTGCTTCCAAACTGTAAATCAGATCACGTCACTCCCCACGCCCCTGCTCCCCCAGCTGCCCAAACCCTGGTCTGAACCAGCCTGGCCTGCCTTGCAGGGGGCTGGCAAGGGTGGGCCCTATGCACCTCTGCAGGCTCATCACCCCCACTCCCCTGCCCCCCACGATCCAGCCACACTGGAGTGTGGGTAGCCTCGTGGCTATTTCCTGAATGCTAAGCTCCTTCCCACCTCATAGCTTTTGCACTAGTGTCTTCCTCCTTCTAGAATAAGGCTCTGTGGCCCAGCCTCTTCTCATTTCTGAAGTCTCAGCTCAGAGAGGCCTTTCACCCTGACAGTTTTATCTGAAGAAGCTTCACTTCCACCAGTTACGGGTGGAAGTGAAGTGTCTTTATTAAGACACCCCATTGTATCGCTTCAGTGTGCTCAAGACTGGCATTGTGTTGTTTGTTCGCTTACGTATTTGTGGTCCGTCGCCTATCAAGGAAGGCAGGGATTCTTCTTGTTCATTGTTGTATCCCCAGAGCTAGAGCAGGGCCAACCTAGCACATAGTAGGTGCTCAGTCAGTCTGCTGAATCAGAAAGGAAGTAGCCATTCATGGTGAGGTAACAGCTTAGCCGAGAGATGGCAGGCGTGGCTGTTGTGTATAGAGAGCACCCCGAGTTCCTGAGGCAGAGGCACGGGGGCACAGGCAAGGGCTGTGGCAGCCAGGGTGGAGGTGGTGAGGGCAGTGGGAGGGAGAATGCCCAGGCGAGCGAAGCAAGAGGCCCTGCCATGCCCACTCTATGCCAGATCCGTGACTCATGCAGGGCTTCCCCAGATTCAGCCTGGCTGGTGGCGCCGGCAAGCATGGAGCTCACTGGCCAGGGATGGAGGGCCCACTCTTCAAGGGAGCAAACCAAGGCTCGGAGAGGGGACAACACAGCCTGCCGGAGGTCACCCGCAGGCGGGCAGCTAGCCAAGGCTTCTGGCTCTAAGCAAGACCAGGGCAACTGCCCTCAGCTGCTGGGAACCCCAGGAGGGGCCTTGGAAATCATTGTTTCCAGGCTTCCATTTTCCAAGAAAGCAGAGGGCAGCATGACCTTGGCCAGGCTGCTCGCCACGTCTGAGCCTGGACCTCTCGAGTGCCCATGAGGGTTCTGGGGACCCCATTCACCAGCAGCTAGAGGCCTCCAACATAATGCACAGGCCAGGAAAGACCTTGTAAACTGCAGGGCGGTGCACAGCCTCTCTCGCTGCTGGCACCAACATGGGCAGCTGTTGTCTCCCAGGGTCCAGCTGCTAACCACCTGGGCTGGTGGGTGTGCCTCCAGAAGGGGGCCTCCCAGCACTCAGCTGGCACCTGCTACAGCTCAAGCAGTGGCACCCCAGAGCCTGCAGCTGGAGGTACCACCAGAGGCTACTTAGAACTACCCCTCACAGGCACCTGCGCTGGGGCTGGTGGCCCTGGAAATGGTGGTAGAGCTGGGAGAAGGGTCAGAGTCTGAGCTACGGGCATGCTTTTCTCACCGAAGCCCTACAGGATCTGCCCTGTCTCTGCGGGTGTACCCTGGGCCCCAGCAAGCTGAGCCAGGAAGGAGGATATACACCCAAAGTGTTCCCCACACTGAACTTCCAGCCAGCCTACCTGAGCCTGATCCCTGGCACCCCCTGGGTGACCTTGGGCAAGTTGCTTAGCCTCTCTGAACCCCTACCCAGCCCTTGGATGGGTGGGAGATGTTGATGAGTGAACTCGGAACAGAGCCTGGCACACAGGAGGCGCTCAGGAGATGTCAGCAATGATCATGGTGGAGGGGAGCCATGGCTCGGGCTGTGCACCTAAATGGGCCTATGCACACCTGTGTAGTGGCTGGTGAGCTTCGGGAGTGTCCTGGGGATGCATGCACACATCTCCCTATAGCGTGTGTGTGTGTGTGTGTGTGTGTGTGTGTGTGTGTGTGTTTCAGGGTTGTGCATGAGCTGGAGACCTGAGCGTGCACACTGGGATGCATGCTGTGTGTGTGGGGGGGGAGGGGCATTAATGCACGTGCTGTGCTGCCTGTGTGCTCTGGTGCACAGGTGTGGTAGGTACACGCTGGGGCTGAGTGCGGTTCTGCAGATGTGCACTCAGGTAGGGCGGTTGTGCATGCCCTGGAGAGTACGTATAGGTGGGGATGCCTGCAGGGCCAGCCAGGGACTCTCTGCCCCCCTGCCTTGGGGGAAGGGGTGCGTGTGTGTTGGGGAGACAGCACAGGAATCTATAGCTCTCAGAATCCAATTTGGGGGTGTTGAGTTCAGCACCAAATATTGGTTGCACCCTACTGTGTGTAGAGAGGGTGGGAGGCGCTCTGGAAAGGGTGTTCCTGGGGTTTGAGTGAGGAGCGGGGTACCCTTAGGGGGGCGGGGCCCCATCGTTGGGGTTTGGAAGCCAGCAGGGGTGCAGTCCCTGTTTGGGATCGGGTGTCAAAAGGGAGTGGTGGGGGAGGGCAGGGGGAGGGGGCGGAGCCGGTGGGGGGGATGGGCGAGGTTTGGGGGCGCGGGGAGGGGCGAAGTCTCCACCGTCGGCTCCCGGAGGGAGGGGAGAGGGCGGAGGGAGGGGAGGGAGGGAAAGAGGGAGGGAGGAGAGAGAGAGAGAGAGAGAGAGAGAGAGAGAGAGACACGGTGAGGGAGAGACAGCGAGAGCGAGAGAACGAGAAGGGAGACAGAGGAGGTGCGGAGCGGGCGGCGGCGCGGCGGCCTGAGGAAGAGGAGGAGGAAGAGCCGGAGGAGCCGCGCCGCCCGGAGCCTGCCGGACGGAGCCCGGGGCAGGCTAGCCAGGAGGGGCGCGGCGGCCGCGGCTAAAGGGGGGCGCTCTGCGGATGGCCAGGCCCGGTCCGCGGGGGGGGTGAGGTCCGCGGCCCCCCCGCCCTCCCCCCCCGGCCCCCGCCCGCCCCCTCCCCGGGCCCGCTCGCCCCCCGGGGCGGTGGGGCATGGCCTGAGGGTCCTCTGTCTCCGGGGGGGGGGTGGGGGGGGGGTGGGGGGGGGGGGGGGGGGAGGGGCTGCGGGCGCCGCCGACCGGGACTCTGCAGCCCCGCCAGGCAGGTAAGAGGGCCGAGAAGCTGGGGGTTTGGGGGTGCCACGGGGCGCGAGCCGCGGGAGGGGGCGGGGGCGCCCGGACGTCCTTGGCCGCGCGCCGGGCTCCGGGCCGGGGCATGCGATGGGGGGTGGGGGCCAGGAGGGGAGCATCGCCCCAGGCGACCCCAAATTGGGTTACACCCCAGTCTCCGGTGCGGGGTCCCAGATCGCAGACTGGATGGGAGGATGCGCTCCCCATGCCCCGAGACAGAGCTCCCTGCCGGAACCCTCCTGCCCGCGCTCCACGCCCAGGGCTCGGTCGCCGCACCCGCCTCCGGGCCCTGCCCGGCCACTCCCCCGCCTCGCTTCCCCACCCGGCCAGCCCAGCTCCGGACCCCTGCAGCGGCCACGCCGCGCGAGGCCCCTCCCCGGGTCACCCCGGCGCCCACCTCAGCCTGCGGGGGTCTGGGCCTCGGCCTCTTCCGCCCCTTTCGACCCCCTTCCAGCTCCTGCTTCTCCTTTCAGGCCCCTGCAATCCGCTCCCACCCCCTTCACAAGCCCCCCCACCCGCACCCCGTCGCTCTCCCTCTCCGCCGGCCGGCGCGCCCCCTCGGCTCCCGCCCCCGGTCCGGCTCCCGGGCGCCTCCGCCCTCTCTCCCGGCCCCGGGCTCCCCCCCACCCCGGCTCCGCGTTCCCAGCCTGGCTCCCTCTCCCCGCCTCGCCTCCTCCTCCCGTTCTCCCGGGCCCCGCTCTCAGCCACGCCGGCCGCCCCCCGGCCCCCGCATCTTCCCAGGGCACCCCCTCTCTCCCCTCGTCCCCCCCGTCGCCGATTCCTCAGCCCGTCTCAGTGCCAGCTGCGTGCCAGCTATTCTTAGCCGCGGAGCGTTTGATTCATGCCGCCCCGGCGGAGTGTGCCCGCTCCCTCCTTCGGGGCCGGAGGGGGAGGGGCCGGCGCTGGTCCTGGGGGTTGGGGGCAGCCGCACGCGCTGGGGTGCGGGGGGGTGGGGGGCCGGGCCAGTGTCGCCTTCATCCCAATGGCCACCCGTTTAGTGCCCGGTGTAGGCTGGGGGTCAGTCAGGGTCAGCCGAGGGGGAGTGGCTGCGGGGCCCCGGGTAGGGAGGTGTGAGGTGGAGCCCGGCAGAGAGGAGGAGGCCGGGGGTTCCGCAAGGGCGAGGTGGGGCAGTGCAGCTCAGTACCTGGAGGGGGAGGGGGCTTGGTAGCCCTGGGCACGCTCGGGGGAGGGGTTGGCGGGCCGGTGGTGATGCCGGCTCGCCCACAGCTCTTGGAAGTCTCCTTCTCATACACACATTTCCAACCCCCCAGCCCATCCCCACTCCCCCAAAGTCAGCAGTACCCTCCACTGCTTCCCATCTCCATGGCAACGGCGCAGGAGCTGGGCCTGGTGTGGGGGGGAGGGACCAGACCAGACATTCTGTTTTCTGGTCCTGGGGTAGAAGTCGGGGGAGAAGATGAGCCAGGCGCACCCCACTGGGGACCCGGCTTCTTAAGGCCACTTCATTGGAGAAGAGGAGGGATCCGGAGATGACTTCCCATCCCAGTCCCCCAGACCCTCACCCATTCTTTGTCCCTCCCAGCCCCCACCCCCAGTCTCCACAGAGTGGGGCTGCTCGTCCCAAGCAAGGCTGAGGTACCCACCCTGAAGAGCCAGTCCTCAAATGTGCATTCACCCCACAGGGCTGAAGGCCACCACACCATGGTCACGTGGTGGGCGCTCCCAGGGCCAGCCTCTCAGGCCACCCACACACCCTCTTAAGATGCTCCCAAAAACTGGCACAGACCACCTCTGGTGGTGCCCTCTCAGGGACACCCCGTGCACGATGATGCTCTGGCCCATGACATGCCCACCCCGGTGCCCGGCACCCCGGGGACACTGGTTCTCCAGCCCTCTGCCCACGTTGTCGGCCACACTTCACTCCAAAGTCGCCAGCTCCACCCGCTGCCAGCTCAGGCACCACGGGGCCTCCTGCTCCTGCTGCCCCTGGTTCACCACCCCCCTCCCCACTGCCACGTCTCAGCAGCACCCCCTCCCCAGCTATCCAGGAGGAGGATGGGAGGGCTTCGGGTGAGAGGCCGCGCTGCGGCCAGGAGGGCAGGATGCCGGTGGGTCGTCCACCTGTCTGTCCTCGGCTAATTTTAGCTGCATTTTCCGTGGCCTGGCAAAGTGGGCCAGTAGCTCCCACGGTGATTCTGCGGTTTCTGGGACACTGCCACACTGGGTCAGCGGCAAAGTGGGGCGCAGGAGGGGCGGGGGCTGCGAGCAGGGCCAAGGGCAGGGAAGGAGACGGGTGCTGGCCGCGTGGCAGTGATGGGGGTGTGTGCGCCGGGCTGCACGAGTGTCCGGGGGTGTGTCCGGCCTCCTTCCTGCCTGCCTCTGGCAGTGTGGGGCCTCTGCCCCGGGCCACGGGGCCACCGAGTATGCCTGTGGCCTTCGAGGGGTTGGGGGGGGGCTTCTAGCCTGACAGCCGCCCCTGGCCCCCCCCCACAGCGACCTGTGATGCTGCCGTCCCCCATCGCCCCGTGGCCCCACAATGACCCACAGCCCCGCCTCCAGCGAGGACGAGGAACGCCACAGTGCCAGCGAGTGTCCCGAGGGGGGCTCAGAGTCCGACAGCTCCCCAGACGGGCCCGGGAGAGGCCTCCGGGGGCCCCGGGGCCAGGGCAGCGGGCCACCTGGTAACCTGGCCTCCACAGCCGGAGGCCTGCAGGGCCGCTCCATGTCTGTCCCAGAGGACGCCCACTTCAGCATGATGGTCTTCAGGATCGGCATTCCGGACCTGCACCAGACAGTGAGTGGGCCTGCCACCTGAGGGCAGGGGGACGGGGCCCGGTCCACACCCGGAGGCCTCTGCCTCTGGGCCTCGTTTCCAGACCCACACCCCTGCTTCCCCAAACTGCAGCCCCCACCTGCTCCCAGAGCTGCCCCCATGCCTTCCCCCACCACCTGAGACCACTTCCCATCGCCTCCTCCCCACCCCCCCAGAAATGCCTGCGCTTCAACCCGGATGCCACCATCTGGACGGCCAAGCAGCAGGTGCTCTGCGCCCTGAGCGAGAGCCTGCAGGACGTGCTCAACTACGGCCTGTTCCAGCCCGCCACCTCGGGCCGCGACGCCAACTTCCTGGAGGAGGAGCGGCTGCTGCGAGAGTACCCCCAGTCCTTCGAGAAGGGGGTGCCCTACCTGGAGGTGAGGCCCGCCACACAGCCGGCCCCTCCTGGTTTTTGTCCCGGTCAACACCTTAGCGAGGGCTCTTCCAGATCTCCAGGCCCAAGAGTCAGAAAGAGCCAGAGGGGCCTGAGTTCACATTACTGTCTGTTCTCTGGCCAGCAGAGTGGCCGTGGGAGAGTCACTTCCTCCACTCCAAGCCTCTTCTCGCCTGTGAAATTGGAGGAGGATTCCTGGTTAGAGCAGGGGTTCCAGAACATTCCCTGTGGGATCCAGACTCCTTCTCCTTCATGCTGGGATTGCAGTCTGCACACACCAGCACCAGCACCCACCCCCCGCAGTCCTGCACCTCTCTGCCCACCCAGCCGAGTCCGGGGCTGTGTCCACCCTGACCCTGGGCTCAGAAGGGCAGCCAGCCTCCTCCCCGGCCCGACTCTGAGTCTCCGTCTCTCCCCTCACCCCACCCCTTGCCTCAGTTCCGGTACAAGACCCGAGTTTACAAACAGACCAACCTGGATGAGAAGCAGCTGGCCAAGTTGCACACGAAGGTGAGAGAGCCCGCTGGCAGCTACCCCACCTTCACCCTGCCCCCACCCGGACCCCCCAGCCCCTTCCTCTCCCACCTCTTCCTAATGCCCCCCCCCCCCCGCTGCATTCCTCAGCCCCTCTGTTCCTCTGCCAGGGTCCCCTTTTGGGGATATTTGGGATAGCCCCAAATACCCCCCTGTCGTAACTTCCTCTTAACCTCCTGGTTTGCCCTTTGTTCCTCTGCCTGGGCCCACACCACTTCCACCTGGCTCCCACTTTCTTTCTTTTGTTTTCTTGTCTTATTTTATCATTGATTTGAGAGAGAGACAATGAGAGATTTGTTGTTCCTCTTATTTATACCTTCATTGGCTGGGTCTCGTATGTGCCTGGACCGGGGATCGAACCCACAACCCTGGTGTATGGGGATGACGCTCTAACCAACCAAGCGACCCGGTCGGGGCCTGGCTCCCATTTTCTTTTTCCTTGGACTCTCCCATCTCCTCTCCTGGTCTCTTGTACTCACGCTGGGCCCCTCATCCCCCTCAGCCTGGACTCTGACCTCCAGTGTCCCTCTGCCTGGGGCTGCTTCACAGATGCCCTGCAGTCCCCCAGTCCCGTGGCCTCAGTCTTTACCAGATCCAAGGGTGCCCCCCGTCCAGCCACACCTACCGTCCAGGCACTTTGTATCCCAGTCCTTGGACTGTATGTCCGTGAGTCCCTCCTGGTCCCCTAAGAGCTAGGAGGAAGCCAGGGGGCTCTTTCAGTCAGTAGCGAAGTGAAGGATTCTTGTCACATGAGGGGAAAGTCCCCCCACCGGTTCCTCCTCATCTCCTCCCACTGCACATCCATCCTCGTCCTCCCCCAGACACTCCACCCTCCACGCCTGCGCTGTCCACTGCAGGGGCCACTGGCCACACACAGCTCCCGAGCTTTAGCAGTGTGACTGGCCCCCAAGCTTAGCCCGAGTGTGAAATGCATGCCAGGTTTCAAAGACTCCGGATACCCCCCAAAAGTGAAATATCTCCCTAATAAATTTTATACGCATTACGTGCTGAGATGGTGGATATAGTAGGTTAAAAGAGGTATGTCGTTAAGGGGGATTTCAACATCGTTGATAGTCCCTCTTTCTTGTTTGTTTATTTATTTACTTTTACTTTTTTACTGAGTTTATCGGGGTGACATTGGTTAATAAAATGATATAGGTTTCAGGCGTACAACTCTACAACACATCTTCTCTGTGTTGTGTTGTGTGCTCACCATCCAAGGTCTCTTTCCATCTCCATTTATCCCCCTTCTACCCTCTTCTACCTCCGGAGCCCCCAGGTCCCCTTCCTTTCTGCTAAAGGTTTTATTTATTTGTTTGTTTGTTTGTTTATTTTAGAGAGAGGGGTAAGGCGGGAGAAAGAGAGGGAGAGAACACACATCCATCGGGTGAACCGAACCAGCGGCCTTTGGGTTTGCAGGATGACGCTCAACCCACTGAGCCACACCAGTCAGGGGCCCCTTCCTGAAAAAGTAGCTACTTTTTGATGTCACAAGTGGCTCGCTGTGTATGTCACTGCACTGCGCAGCTCGAGGCCCCATCTTTTTTTCTCTTGCTCCCTGATGGGCCTGTCTTCTGTCTCTCCTCTCCGGCTCAGACCGGCCTGAAGAAATTCCTGGAGTACGTGCAGCTCGGCACGTCCGACAAGGTGGCGCGCCTGCTGGACAAGGGGCTGGACCCCAATTATCACGACTCGGATTCAGGAGGTAGGGAGCGGGGCGGAGGGCTTGGGGAGGGGCACGCCCAGCGTGAGGCCCGGGCGCTGCTCTTGACTGGCTTCTCGCCCCTCAGAGACGCCCCTGACGCTGGCCGCCCAGACGGAAGGCTCCGTAGATGTGATTCGAACCCTGTGCCTGGGCGGAGCCCACATCGACTTCCGAGCCCGGGATGGCATGACAGCCCTGCACAAGGCCGCGTGTGCCCGGCACTGCCTCGCTCTCACGGTGAGGCGCCAGCCCCCTCCCCCCGACCCCGGGGCCCTCCGCAAATCATAGACACCCCCAGAATGCCATGTTTCCCACACAGACTGCACTGGGCAAACTGCCCCAGACCCTCCCTCTTCCTGCCTTCCGTCGTCGCCCCTCCCACTGAATCTGAGTCCCCCTCAGACGCTCAGGGGCAGCCACGCTTCCTGGCCCACGACCAGCTATAGCTGATGGTCACTCCGACTTCCTTCTGCCCGGGTGGACGCCATGACTTTCCCCACACTCAGACATTGGTATCCCCCGTTTCCTCTGAGCCAGCCCAGCACCAGCCCTGCCATTGTCTCCCCGAGGGGCAGACGCTCCTCCTCGCCCCTGCAGTGCCCAGTGAGCTTCCTGCTTTGTCCCCAGAGACCAGCCTCCACACACAACCTGCAAACACAGCCCCGCCACCTGCCTCCCTAGGCCCTGGCCCCAAACAGCCCCCATCAACACTTCCCCATCTCTCACGTGCAAATACGGGCCCCTCCTCCCAAATAGGTGAACCTCATGTACCCACAAAAAAGCACACACGGAGTCAGCTGGCGCTTATATTTTAAAATACTGTTGCCTTCTCTCTTTTTTTTAATTTATTGATTTTAGAGAGAGAGACATTGATTTGTTCTTCCACTTATTTATGCATTCACTGATTGATTCTTTTTTAAATAAAGACTTTTCTTTATTTTTAGAGAGAGGGGAAGGGAGGGAGAAAGAGAAGGAGAGAAACATCAATGTGTGGTTGCTGTTTGCCCAACCCCTACTGGGGACCTGGCCCAAAACCCAGGCATGTGCCCTGACTGGGAATCGAACTGGCGACCCTTTGGGTTCACAGGCTGGCATTCAATCCACTGAGGTACACCAGCCAGAGCTATTGATCCTCTTATGTGCCTTGACTGGGGATGAAACCTATAACCTTGGCATGTTGGGATGACGCTCTAACCGACTGAGTACCCCACCAGGACTGCCATTGCCTTCTTCCCACCCCCTCCCAAGCGTTCTTTTTTTAAAAGGAAAAAATGGTACTTATTTATTTTTAGAGAGAGGGGAAAGGAGGGAGAAAGAGGGAAAGATCAATGTGTGGTTGCCTCCTGTGCGCCCCCTACTGGGGACCTGGCCCACACCCCAGGCACGTGCCCTGACTGGGAATATGAACCTGCAACCCTTTGGTTCTCAGGCCAGCATTCAATCCACTGAGCCACACCAGCCAGGGCTCCTCCTGAGGGTTCTTGATCCCTCTTCACACACAGGTCAGGATAGAATGCCCCAGAGATACATAGCTGTGGATAAATACAATGATTCACAGATGCCCCAGCTTAACAAACCCTCCTTCCCCTTCTCCAACCCTTTCAGCAGCCACAAAGATCTCTCATACCCCTGGAAGCCACAGACCCTCTGTCGTACCCCCAGTGCATTGCCCTCCCCCAGACCCAGACCCGCACCGGCCTATCTAGTAGCCACTAGCTATCTGCGGCTGTTGAGACTTAAACTGGTTACAGTGAACGGAAATCAAACCTTTGGCTTGTCGGGCTCACTAGCCATATTCAAGCTCTCAGCTGCCAACGTGCAGCCTCCGTGTTGGGCGGTGCAGTTGTGACCGTGCCCATTGTCATGGAACATGCAGTTGGACAGCACCACCTCGGCCATGCTCACACAGGGCCACCGCCAACACTGTCCTACTAACCGTCGACACCCTTACCAGCCTTCTGTGCCCAGAGCCGTTCCTTGAGTGGGACTACTCCCCGGCCCCACACCCCTGGCCTCCAGGAGGCTGGTCTGCTGCCTCTTCCGGAGCTTGCTCTTTCCCAGGCCACCTCCTGTGCCCCACCCTCGGAGCTCAGCAGTAACAGCGCCCACTTGGCCAGGGGCCTCCGGCATCACTTCTGTCATTTGTCCCCACAGCCACCCCACCGAGTAGGTGGGTGTCCGCTGTGGGGGAAGGGCAGGCTGGATGTCAGAGCGGGAGGGTCCTCTGCCGGCCTCTTCCTGGTTCCCTCCTAGTTTGCAGGGTGGGAGAGGCTCAGAGAGCGGAAGGGCCAGGCTCAAGGTCACACAAGGGCATCGTGGCAGAGCTGAGACTGCCATTGGCCAGTGGCAGTCGCCCAGGACCCCTTGTCCTCGTCCCGCTGGCTCTTCAGAACGAGCCCGTGCCCCGTGACTGTCATCTGCCTTGTCTCCCCTCCTAGGCACTCCTGGACCTCGGGGGCTCCCCCAACTACAAGGACCGCCGGGGGCTGACCCCTCTGTTCCACACGGCGATGGTGGGGGGCGACCCCCGCTGCTGCGAGCTGCTGCTGTACAACAGGGCCCAGCTGGGCATCGCCGACGAGAACGGCTGGCAGGAGATCCACCAGGTGCCGCTGCCTAGGCCAGGAGGGGCGGGCACAGGGGTGGGGCTGCCGGGCCCCACTGGCTCAGGGGCCAGGGACCAGGGACCCTGGTCCAAGGGGCTGGGGGTCCAGACACTGAGGGCCTCCTAGAGGGTGGGAGTCAGGGCCCCTGGTCCCCAAAGAGAAAAAGATGGGGGTGTCGACACTGGAACCGTGAAGGAACATGGGCTGGGGGACGGGACTCCTTGACCCTTGACGTGGGTGGGGATGGCCTCTTGTGGGGCCAAGCTGGACCTCTCAGCCATGGAGTGACTTGTGAAGCCCACAGCCTGGGTCTCTAAGAAGGATCGGGGGCTGAAAGGAGGAGGGGCACTGGATACAGGGCTTCCTGGCCTCAAGGTGAAGGCTATGGACGGCCGCCGTGAGCGGAGGGTCTGACCAGCCTCCTCGGCTCCCTGTCCTCCGCAGGCCTGCCAGCGGGGTCACTCTCAGCACCTGGAGCATCTGCTCTTCTACGGCGCTGAGCCCGGAGCCCAGAACGCCTCAGGGAACACGGCCCTGCACATCTGTGCCCTCTACAACAAGGTCTGCCCGGCTCCCCTCCTGACTGCAGCCCTCTGCTCCTTCTCTATTTCATTCGTTCATTCACTCACACGTTCATTCATTCATTGCTCGCTTATTCGCTCACTCATTCACTCATTCATTCATTCATTCATTCGTTCAACAAGTATTTACTGAGCACCTTCCCTGCATCGGACCCAGAACTGGATGCTGAGGGCCAAGTAGTGAGCAAGCAGGACAGCCCCAGATCGGGGCACACCTGCCATCACAGTCCAGACTGCCCAGAGGGAGCTCACGGGGAATGCAGGTCCCTAGGGGATCCCGAGTGTGGGCTTGGGCTGGAGGCTGGGGTGGAGGTGGCTATGGAGGATGTGCCACCTGTGCTAAGGTGAGCAGGAGTCAGCGGGGTAGAGAAGCAGGAGAAAGCTTTGCTAGCAGGGGCAGAGGGCATGGCCAGAGGGTTACCCAGAGATTCTCTCTCCCGGGAGTCTTGTTCCGCTGCCAGTGGGTTATTACCTGCTGAGCACCCATGCATGGGAAGGGGCGGCCATTGTAGCAGACAAAGGAAAAGCCAAACAAACTGCAGCCCCCAAGGGGACCAGAGTATTGTGTGAGTTGTAGTAATTTGGGGCTGTGTGGATGGTCCCCACTTCAGGAGCTGGGGTGACCGGTAAAGAGCAGGTTGGCGGTAGGGGGAGGGGAGTCTCATGTTCCTGCTCCGGTGCTGTGCGGCAGCCCGTTGGGTTGGCCAAAGCTGGGGACCTTCAGCCTGGTGACCCCAGCCCTTTGCTCCTTGTGTGACAGGCAGTCCTGGGCAGATCAGCCCCCTCAGTGCCTCAGCCTCCCCCACCCACTCCGAAAGGCTGCCTGTCCTTGGAGGGTTGCCACGGGGGCTTGGGAGGACAGGACTCGGCCCGTGGCTGCTGCTGGTCGTCAGCCCCATCCCCGCCTCCCTGTTCTGTCTTTCAGAACAGCCCAGCCCCTTCTGCCTCATCAGGACGTGCAGTGCTGGGGATGTGGCAGGTAGCCACGGGCTGCCTTGTGGCAGCAGGCAGCTTGCTTGGCGCCCGCCGAGGGAGAACTCGGTGTTTGTCAAACCCGACCAACACGGTGCCGTCACTTCCCCTCCTGGTGGCACTTCTGTCTCTCCTGCTCCTCGACACGGGCCTCGTGCCCAGACTCCCCGGGCCCTCCACCTCCCGTGGGAATGGCCTGTGGGCTCCCCGAAGATGCCCTGTCCCTTCTGCAAGGCTCCGTCCTCTCCCTGAAATGGGAATCACGTCTACTGAGTGAAGGGGATGAAAGAGCATGTAAATTAAGTGCTCGTCCCTAGAAGGCAGCTATAATAATCATCATTATGATCGTGATCGTAACCATTATCAGTCAGGATCCAGGCAGGAGGCGGAAACCATACCATTCATTTGAACAGGGAAAATTTAATATGAAGAATTAATAGCAAGAGCAATTACTCTTAGCAAGTGAGAGGAACCAGTCATCCCCCCACCCCCGCCCCCCTGCCTGGGACATCCCTTTTCTCGTCTTCAAAATGGGTCAATAACAAAGGACCAAGTGGGTGAATATTTGCCTGTTCTTGGCAAGGTGCTGAATGGACAGATGCTTGACACATGCGAGGTCTTTTTCGACTTCACCCTCCTTGTCTGCCCTCCCAGACTTTACGGTGTCCAAGGTGCAGAGCTGGGTCTGACATTTCCTCACTGTGCTCCCCTGGCCCCTTGGCATCCCTGTGCTGGTGACGGTCAGGTCCATGTCTAGGCTCTGAGATCCTCAAGGCTGGGGGCTATGTCTCTTCAATCTGCTGTCCCAAAGCCCCAGCACATGGTAGGCCTAGAAGCATCTTTGTTGAGTGAAGGAAGGAAGGAAGGAAGGAGAGAAGGAAGGAAGGAGAGGAGGAAGGAAAGGAGGGAGAAAGGAAGGGAGGGAAGAAGGAAAGATGGAGAGGAGGAAGGGAGGGAGGAAGGAGGGAAGGAGGGAAGGAGAGGAGGAAGGAAGGGAGGGAGGGAGGAAGGAAGGGAGGGAGGATCAACCACCTTAGATTTCCTCCAAGCCCGCACAGCACCCAGCTCAGCACATTTAACAGGTAGTTGCTGCTAGATGGATTGCATGACTTGAGGAATGAATGAATGACTTGAACAAATGAATTTTGAATGACTCTACGCCACACCCTCCATCCGCATCCTCTCCATGCCTGTTTCCTGAGCATCTACTATGTGCAGAATGGGAGATAAATCAGACGCAACCTGGCGCCTGCCCTGGGGAGGCGGGAGGGGGATCCCGGACGAGCAAAGAGGCAGACAAGTAAACAGATAATTGCAGAGCTGAGACATAAGTGCCAGGGCACCAGTAAATGTGGGGTTCTCGAGGAGTCATTGGAGGAGCTGGTGGAACTGGTGTTGACGCTCTGGCCCTGTGCTAGGCATGCACCGTGGTGGCTGGGAGCACGCAGACGTGCAGAAACACACCTGACAGTGGTTAACAGTCTAGTTGGTGGGGGGGGACAGTGTGTGCACACTGGTGCACGCACAGACACACTCACAAACACACCCAGTAGCTCTGGGCCACTGACCTGGGCTGTTGGAGTCGTGCTATCACAGGACATAGACAAGCGGTAGGATTAGAAGGCATCTTAGGAGCTCCACTAACCGGCTGTGTGACTTTAGGTGAAGATCTGCCCTCTCTGAGCTAGTGCTACAAGACGGGGTCATACAAGCATCCTTGGTGGATTTGTCATGTGGTGAGGGTCAGACCGAGTCAGTTCTCGGTGAATGCAGGTTCAGGTGGTATTTGGGGATCTAGATAGAGTTGAGTGGGAGGTGAGGGGAAGGTTGGCTCTGGCCAGGTGAAGACAAAAGGCAGGGGACCTTCCCTGATTCGGCACCTGTTTACCGAACAGCTCCTGGGGGCCAGATGCCATTCCAGGTGGCAAGGGCCGCAGACAGAAGCATGCCCCTACGCAAGGGACCAGGTAGTGGGATGCTAAAGAGACAAATAAAATAGCAATGTAAATTCAGAGAGACCGTGTTGGGAAGAAGATGAGCTCATACTGGCTTGGAAGGATGCCTGGGCTGTAGCAGGTATCACAGAAGTAAAAATAAAGCAGGGAGCAGGACGGGGGTTATTTCTGACAGGGCGGTCAGAGGAGCCCCCTCTGAAGAGGTGGTGTTCCAGAAAAAACCTGAGCGAAGCGAGAAAGCGAGCGATGCGAACATGGCAGGGCAGAGAATTCCGAGCAGAGGGAGCAGCAGGTGCAAAGGCCCTGGGGCAGGAGCATGCCTGTCAGAGGAAGGCGGCCACTGGGGCTGGAGCATGGGGAGTGAAGACGAACCTGGCGAGGCTGAGGGTGGTGGGGCAGGACAGATCAGCCGGCACCTCCTGCGCCATGGGAAGGACCTTGGGTTTGATCCAGAGCGAGAGGGAGCGACACGTCATGAGTCACCCAAGTAAGGGATTGATCTGGGTGTGGATGGCATTTCTACCCCACCACCCCCTTCCTTCTGGCTCTGGCAGGGTGTGTGATAAAGAGCACAGGCTCCGGAGACAGACGGACCTGGGTTCGAATGTGGACACAGATGCACCAGCCCCCGTGACCTTGACCTCCTTGTCTGTTGGGCGGTTCAGTGAGCTGCTGCCTCCCAAGTGCTGAGCACCTGGCCTGCAGCATAGTGAGCCCTCCATGAGGTTTAGATGGATGGCTCTCAGCCAGGCTGCTTCTGGCCCCCAGGGGACATTTGTCACCGTCTGCTGACATTCTCGGTGGTCACAACCAGGAGGGGATGCTACTGGCATCTAGTGGTAGAGGCCAGGGATGCTGCTCGACACCCTTCCGTGCACAGGGTGGCTGAGAAACCCTGGTTTAGATTCATGCCACCCAAGTCACAGGTGTAATTTTAAAGGACTCAGGAGCCACATTTAAAAACAGAGAAAAGAAACAGGTGATGTGGATTTTAGTAACATACTTTATTTAATCCATTGTATCCAAAATAGTATCCTTTAAACTTGAAATCAATAGAAACATTACTGGAGAAATTTTCTTTTTTTTTTTTTTCCCATGCTAGGCCCTTGAAATCCAGTGTGTATTTATTGCACACACAGCACACCTCAGGCTGGCCACACAGAAACTCGGCTCAGCAGCCACACTTGGCCAGTGGCTGCTGTCCTGGGCAGGGCAGGGCAGGGCAGGGCCAGATCAGATTGCTCCTGAGGTTCCTGTCATAATGACCTTTGCTGTCTTTCCTTCCCCTTCACCCTCAGGAGACTTGTGCCAGGATCCTCCTCTATCGAGGGGCCAAAAAGGACGTGAAGAATAACAATGGACAGACCGCCTTCCAGGTCTGGGGCTGGGGGGGACTGGGGGCGGGGTTAGGAGGCACTACACAGGGGTGAAGGAGGGTGGAGCCGTGAGGCGTGCTGGGAGAGAGGCAAGGCCGGAGTGTCTGGGGCAACAGAGGCAGAGGGAGCAGCCGGCCAGGGGCTGGCCAGTGCTTCCTGTCCCCTCTCCCAGCACCTGGGCCACCCCACCTCCCTGGCACCTCCCTGTCTCTCTCCTCCCAGGTGGCAGTGATCGCTGGGAATTTCGAACTGGGGGAGCTGATCCGAAACCACCGAGAACAAGATGTGGGTGAGTGAGGGGTGCTGGGGTAAGGCAGAGCCTAGAGTGCTTGGAGGGTGTGTGTGTGGTAGGATCATGGGTCAGGGCACCCGATTTGGGGGCCAGGATGGGATTGAAAAAGCCCTTGGAGGACCTCAAACGTCTGATCAGTAAGGGGTGGGACTCCCGGCCTCCCATACTCTTTCTCAAACCCTTCTTTCCTCCCTCATGCCTCTCCCCATCACCCCTCGCTTGTTTCTGTCCCCCCTGCCCCTCTGTCCCCTGCCACTGTGCCCTCTCAGTGCCCTTCCAGGAGTCCCCCAAGTATGCCGCCCGGCGGCGGGGACCGCCGAGCGCCGGGCTGACGGTGCCCCCCGCGCTGCTGCGGGCCAACAGTGACACCAGCATGGCCCTGCCCGACTGGATGGTGTTTGCCGCCCCGGGGACCTCGTCCGCCGGGGCCCCCGGCGCTACCTCAGCGGCCCAGGGCCAGTCGCAGCCCTCGGCCCCCAGCACCAAGCTCAGCACCGGGACCCTCCGAAGTGCCAGCAGCCCCCGGGGAGCCCGGGCGCGCTCCCCGTCCCGCGGGAGGCACCCCGAAGAGGCCAAGAGGCAGCCTCGTGGACGGCCCAGGTAGGAGAGGGCCCAGCCCTGGTCCCACAACAGATCCCAGCCCAGCCCGGTCCCCTCGTCAGAGCCACCAGGCTCCAGGCCAGCTCAGCTGCCACCCTCCTGTCCCTGTACCTGCCCCCCTGCACCAGGCTTAGGCCACTCTCCCGACCTTTAAGGAAGGGAGGGTATCGTGAGCCAGTCTTGCAGCCCTCCCAAGTGCATGCAAGTTCAGCCAAAGCATTTGCTCTACACCAGAGGCCTGGGGGCACTCTCCCCCAATGTTGGCCCTAGACCCTGAGGACAGACAGGGTGAGGTGAGAGGAGGCCAAGCAGGGTGGGGGCCTCCGAGGGCCTTGGGAGGAAGGCCTGAGATCGGAGATGAAGCCGGAGGAGGGGTAGGTGGGAGGGGAGCAGAGAAGCCACTCAGGGCAGAGGGGAGGGTGGGAAGGGGCACTGTGGGGTGAGGAGGCCAAGCTGGCTAAGGAGGGTGAGGAGGGGAGCTGTGGCCAGCCAGCATGTCCCGAGGAAGTAGGAGGGGAGAAGATCATGGAGGACCGGGAATGGCGGGCAGGGGGGCTGGACCCAACCTCGGAGGAAGCTGGAAGTCCCTGAAGGCTAGGGAACAGAGGGATGGCGTGGGCAGAGCTTAGCCTCAGGAGGCGCCATCGGGTGGAGCTCGTAGGACCGTGGGAGGGGTCAGAGCTGAAGCCAGGAAGCAGGAGAGGGGTCTGGGGGACGGCAGCCCGCAGAGAGAGGGAGTCCCAGATGCCCTCTTCCCCCAGGACTCCAGAGCTGGGCAACCCACTCAAACCCCCTCCCTCACCCCGATGCTCCGTCTCTCCCCCGCCCCTCCAAGGACCCCTGTTCCCCCAGAGGTGCCCCCTCCCTCCACTCTGCCCCGCCTCTCACACCCTCTGTGTACGCAGCTCCAGTGGGACGCCCCGGGAAGGGCCCACCGGGGGCACCGGGGGCTCAGGGGGGCCCGGGGGCTCCCTGGGCAGCCGCGGGAGGCGCAGGAAGCTTTACTCAGCGGTGCCCGGACGCTCCTTCATGGCCGTGAAGTCCTACCAGGCTCAAGCCGAGGGGGAGATCTCCCTGAGCAAAGGCGAGAAGATCAAAGGTAAGGGGCAGGCAGGTGAGCTGACCACTCCGGGAGAAGCAGTCAGAGCCACAGTTCTAGAATGTTCCGCGCACTCTGGAGGCCTCTGAGAGCCAGCCCCGAAATGCCCTGTCTGCCCGGAGGAGCGTGAAGTGTAACTGAGATGATGCCAGCAGGCAGCGGTGGGACCCCTCCAGGCATGGTTTCTACTCACTCACGACCCCCCCTCCTTGCAGCAGGGCTTCCAGGCCCTGTCGCACAGTTGAAGGATTATAGCCTCAGGCAGGTGACACCCCTTGCCTGCAGCCCTCAGTGTTTCCTGCTGCCCTATGGGGAGTGTGAGGCCATGCCGCCTGCCTTCACCTCCAGCCACGGCCAGGTTCCGCGTCTGAGGAAGGGGGCGGGGCCTACGTTGGGGGCGGGGCTCCGCTGAGAGGGGATGGGCGATGTGAGTGAAACTCGGTCCATGCCCAGAGTTCCCCAAACAGAGAGTGTCGTTGTAGGCATTCGCCTCTCTCTGGTTTCCCTTTCTTCATCTGGAAAATGGTGCCAGTAGCCCCCACGGGCAGACTTGCCGGGCTGGTGACTTGTGCTCTTGGACGGAATGGTGCTTTGGAGACAGGAAACGGGCTGTCGTGGGCGTAGTCAGCCTGCTTTGGGAGAGCCAGTCTCTGCCCAGCTCTAGGCTATGGAGGAACTGAGCAGTATAGAGGCTGAGAACCAGACAGCTGGGGTTCGAATCCTGCCTTCCCCTCCTCAGGCAAGGGACTTCTCTGGGCCTCAGAGTCCTCATCTACAAAACGGGACCCTGCTGAGGACTGAAGGAATCCTCTCACGTAAAGCACTTAGAACAGCGCTTCGCACAGAGCGAGCACAGCCAACGTTATCAAAGCGCCCCTCCCCCACTACAGGCACTTAGAGGAGAGAGACCCCTGGCCATCGCCCAGGGAAGCTGGGAGGGTCCTCCCACAGTGAGGGCCCAGGGTCATCCCCATGCCCCCCTGCAGAGAGCCGCCATGACAAAGCAGCGGAGACCGAGTTGGAGTGGGTCAGGGATCAGAGCACCGGGCAGGTTGTGCAGGTGCCTCTGTGTGGCGGTCTGTCTGCCCGTAGCCTCAGTTCCTGGAGGTGAGGTCCTGAGACATTGATCTCCGGGTCCCAGGGGCCCAGTTTCACAGCAGAGTGCACAGGAGGCCTCAAGACATGTCCGCTGAATGAACGAATGAATGAATGAATGAAGGGCCAAATGCCAGGGCTAGCGGTGGGGGCCACAGCAGTGCCTGCAGAGGAGAGACAGACAGACGGACAGTGTGTGTGTTGGGGGTGGGGGTTTGTCTGTGATTGGGAGGGTGAGAAAGAAGAAAGGGAAACTGAGGCAGGGGTGAGGGACCTCCTGGGAAGGCAGAGGGAGGGCTTTGGACAGTATCTCCCATGTGCCTTTCTGAACTTCAAGCCCAAAACTGCTGCACAAGGAGAGGAGACACCACTCTGTTTTTAATGCCCGTCCCTTTCATTGAAAAGACACTCCGTTGCCCCCAAGCGTGCCCACCTGCACGATGTCACCAGGTGTCCCCACATCTCGAGAGGTAGCAGAGCTCCCTCTGCTCTCAGGATCCCAGCCCAGTGCCTGAGCTTGGCCTACAAGGCTCCCCCACCCCCACTCGCCCACCCACCCACCTCATCTCCAGCCACTTTCCCCTCACCCACAAGGTTCCAAGGACCATACCCTTCTCTCATTCTTCAAATGCCCCGAGCCCTTTCCCACATAAAGCGCTTCGCACGTGCTGTTGCTTCTGCCTGGACGACCTTTGCTCCTTGTCATTGTGTCCTCCAGTCTGAGGATCCTTCGGGTCTCAGCCTGTAGGTCACATCCTCCTGAACGCCTCCCTGGTTGGTCTCTGCCAGCCATCCCACTTACATGTTCCCCTCTGGGTGTCCTGTCTCCAGATACCCTTTTTCTCTTGAGTGCTGCCCTCGATTTCCAATCATGAGGTCACCTGTAGACTCACACCTCCCACGGGCACCAGTGTGGCAGGTCCGTGAGGGCAAGAACCACGTTCATGGTGTTCGACAGCTCCTACCCCTGACTGTTCAGTGAGTGCAGGATCGATCCCCAGGCCACCCAGCCAGGCAGGGTGCAGCCAGCCAAGAGCCCAGACTCCTTGCCACCTGTCTCCTGTTCTTCTGTGACCTTGAACATCTCTTGATCTCACCTCCCAGACCCTCTCCAGGCAGGTGGCTGGTGCAGAGAAAAGCATCGATGGCCCTGACTCAAATCCTAGAGTGACTTGAGGCATCTCTGCGCAAGGGATTTCTAGGCTCTAGCTTTAGCGGCTTCATCTCTGAAGTGGGAAGTCAGTTGTTAGCTATCAGAGTGGGCATGAGGGTTGAGGGAGGGAGGTATGTGAGGGGCTGAGTGCGGACAGAGCCACGAAAATGCTGGAGGGAGGGAAGGAGGACTGTGTGTTGAACAAGACGCTTGAACAGAGAGAGAGCAACCTTAGTGACTACAAGCATTCACTCTCAAAATGCACAGAGCTGCATTCGAATCCAGCCTCTGGTTATTACACGCCATGTAACCTTGAGCAAGTGACCTGGGATCTCCACACCCCTATTTCCCATCAGTAGTAGAGCAGGGATAGTAACAGCAGCCCCTCTAAGGGTTCTGGTCCGGAGCGAGAGCTGGGTAGACGTGAGCAATCCCTGCTGTCCATCTCTGAACATCACCACCCAGCTCGGCGGCACGGGGCATGTCACAGGCTACCACTGAACGTGGGCTGATTGATGGTTTCAGAGGTGGGGCCGGCGGGAAGGGCCCTGCAGTTGTGCGTGGTGGAGAGAAGGAAAGAGGTGATTCTAATCTCTTCTCCCTTCTAGAGCCTGGGGAAGCAAAGAGAGGTGGAGGAGGGACGGGCCTGGGAGCAAATGACAAAAGATTAAGCAGCAAGGAGACTGCCAGAGGTGGCAGGGCAGCAGTGGGGCTGCCCGGGAGGGTTGAGAGAAATCACAGAACAACAACCGAACTGAAACCCGTCACCAGGGGAGAAGAGAGCCCGTCGAGGACGGGTCCCTAACCTGTGAGGCAGCGCCACGGACACGGCCCTCTTCCCCACTGCCTCTGGCTGTCCTCACTGGATCCGGAAAGCTAGAATGCAAGAGTGACATGATTTGCTTCTCCCCCCCACCATGGCCTCGCCCCTTCCTGGGACGTTCATTAAGGACGCCCTGTGGCCAGGACCTGCGCCAGGTGCAGGAATTACGGAAAGGTGGTGCATGGTGTGTTGGGGGCAGGAGCAGCATGGAAACGTAGAAATGTTTCTCTGTTCCTGCTCCCCGCCCACCCAGTGCTTAGCATCGGGGAAGGAGGCTTCTGGGAAGGCCAAGTGAAAGGTCGCGTCGGTTGGTTCCCCTCTGACTGCCTGGAAGAGGTGGCAAACCGCTCCCAGGAGGGAAAGCAAGGTAACGCCTCGCCCCAATGTGTCCAATTTACCCTCGGGTACTCACTTATGTCCTTTCCCATCGTCTTCCTGATGGGGCTGGGAGGAGACTGGGAAGGTGTGGGCCAGGGGCACTGGGGGTGGGCTTGTGGTTTCTGGAGTGAGGACCCAAGGTGGTCCCTTGTCCCCCTGCAGAAAGCCGCAGTGACAAGGCAAAGAGACTCTTCCGGCATTATACCGTGGGCTCCTACGACAGCTTTGATGCCCCAAGGTAAATGTCCTCACCCCCTTGGCGACCCCCCTTCCCATCTCACCTCTTCCCTCTGAAGTTTGACCAGGGGTGGGGGAAGGCAGCGTTAGCTTCCCACCACACAGCCCAATGCCAACCCTGCCTTGGCAGCCAGGGAGACTGCTCAGCTCTAGGGTGGCCGAAAACCAGTGGGGTGGGTGGGGCTGGATGGGGGAGGGGAATGCCTGGGGGCCTGGGGCTCTCACGTGTATGGCTGGCTGGAGGTCACGTGCAGTGGAAGTGTACCCATCCCACGCCTCGCACCGGGTGTGGGCAGCGCCAGGCCAGGCCAGGCGGGTGGGGGCGGGGAGAGGGGCACACTGACACCTTTCCCCTCCCTGGCTGCTGGCTGACTTGCTTCTGAAGCTTGATGGATGGGATTGGCCCAGGGAGGTGAGACGGGAGGGGACGGGCGGGCACGGGGTCAGGAATGGGAAGGAAGGGGTGCCTGTGGGCCTATGGGTGTGTGCGCGTGCACGACCAGAGCTGAAGCTCCCTGTGTGTGAACGGCTTGCACAGGCGAGTGCCCTTGTCCTGTTTCCTTGAGTGTGCTCTTGCCCACGTGTCTCTGTAGGTGCACATGACCCGTGTCCGTATGCATGCGTGACTGGAGGCCCCTAGACACAGAGCCCCGAGCATATGCCCGGGAAGGCCAGAGGGCCTGGCCTGCTCCGTAGAGACAGGTGCCTCTGTGGCTGTCATTGGTGGCTGCAGGACTGTGGCTAATGGTGCAGCTGTCCCCACACATCCCTGTGTCCCTGAATCTGTGTGTCTGAGAATGAGGGCAAGTGTTTCTAGAGATGGCGGTGTGTCTGCTTACCGCGTAGGGACAGGTGGGTCTCCACACACACCTGTCCCTCTCTCTGCATGTCCCTGTTGGTGCACACGAGCCCATACAACTGTGTGCATGCATTTGCATCTGTCTGACTGAGCTGGAATTCAGGACCTGCAGTGGCTGGGGGAGGGCCCCCCGCCTGAGAAGGGAGGACTCCAGGAGGTGGGCTTCTGGAAGGGCAAGGCTGTGGGGGAGGGGTGGTCATAACTGGGCATCCGGGATGACACCCTCCCCTGCTGCTCCCCAGCCCCCCCCCCCAGGGAAGGGTCTCCTTGTTCGTGGCATCCTTCCATTAAATGTGTCCAAACCTACGTGTCTGTGTTCTGGCCAGTGGGGACCCGCTGGGGCGGGGAGGAAGACCAATGACACCAGGGCAGAGGGGGTGGGGCTGGGGTGCTGCCCCGAGCCCCACGTGTCCGAGGCGCTTGACCATTGTGCGTGTCCGCCTGGCACGTCTCCGGCTCTGGGCAGCGGGTGAGTATCCAGGTTCCTCCCCCCGAGTCACCCCGTCAGCCTCTGCTTCCCTCTCGTCTCTGTCCATGTCTCTCTGAGCGTGTCTCCTTGGCCTTGGTCTTGGGGTCACTTGATCGACCTGCGGCTGGATGAAGGTGGTCCCTCTGGCCCTCAGGTCTGTCCTGTCCAGTGTGTATCCCCCCTCCTTCTCCACGGCCCTCGCCCACTGGGATGTGCTGCCAGTCTGCGGTGTGTCTGAGGCGCTCCTGCCTGGCCCCTGCTCTGCCCGACCCCTTCTGTGTCCTGTGGTTTGCCCCTTGCACACCCCCACCCCCCTCCCTCCCACATCCGTGCCTCCCTCGCTCCTCTCCTGTGGGTGTCCAGTGTGGTGTAGCGTGTGTATGCCCCTCTGCCTGAGGTTCTTAGGAGGGAGGTGTCTCTCTGCCTTGGGGCCCGATCTGAATGCCCTGGCCTTCCCTTTCTGGCCCTTCCAGATTGTGTTGGGGTGCTTTGTATGTCGGTCTGTGTTGGGGGGGCTGTGTGTCCCCTCCTGGGGCCTCTCTCACCTTGATGTCCCTGCCCTGGAAGTGGGGCTCGGTCCGCGCGTTCCCGCACGAGGTTTCGAGGCATCTTGTGTGGTGTGCGTCCCTCTCCCGCTCTCCCTCGCTCTGCACCTGCGCGGGAGGGCCCTGGAGGGGGGAGGGGGGTTAAGGGGGGGCCCAGACCGGAAGTGCCTCCCCTTCTCCTCCCCCCGCGCCTCGCCCCTCCCCCTTCTCCCGCCAAGGGGGCCCCCGCGTTCCCCTCCCGGCCCCCTCCCCCTTGCCCGGCCCCCTCCGCCGCCCGGCGCAGGACGCCAAGGGGTTAAGCCTCGCGCCGACTGCCCGCCTCCGGAGCTGTCCGCGGTGCTGAAGCCCGCGCCGGCCGCGGTCCTCGCGCTCCAGCGGCGGCCCGACCCCGCGCCCCGCGCCCCCGCGCCCCCCGGCATGTGAGCCCCCGGCCCTGCCCTCCCTCCCGCGGGAGGGTGCGCGCCCCCTCCCCCTCCCCTCTCCCGGTGCGGGTCAGCATGAGGCGGGGCCTGGGGGCCCGGACACGGGGGTTCGGCCGAGCGGGGACGGGGACGCGGCGGCGGCGGCGGGGGCGGCCGGCACCGGGACCCGGGCCGGGGCCGCGGCGGCGATGGCTTTGTCTGCGGTCGGCGGCGGCGGGGGTCTCGGGGGCGGCCCCACTGGGGGCTCCCTGCCGCAGCCGCCCCCCGCGCTCTCCTCCAGCTGGCCGGCCCTGGGGCCCCGGCGGCGCAGCGTCTGGTACATCTACAGGTAACGGAGCGCGCCGCCCCTTTCCCCCGCGGCCTGGCCTGGAGGCCCCGGCCCGCCGTGACGACCCTACCCCCGCCGCTGATCCCTCACCTCTGGGGCTCCTCCTCATCCCCCCGGCCGCCCCGCTCCTCCAGCCCTCTCCCCTAACCTCCTCTGAACGCCGAACGCCTATCGGGCCCCTCTTCTCAACCCTTCCTTCATCCCTTCCCTTGGGCCGCGCTTCCTCAGTACCCCTCCCAGCCCGGGAATCTGTCCTCCACCCCCTCACAGGCCCTTCCAGGCCCCCCTCAGCTCTTCCTCCAAAATCTTCTCTTCTGCGAGGCCCACCAACGCACCCCGCGTTGGGGTTTGGAGCCCATTTGCCCTCCCTGCCGCCCTGAGCGCCCCCACCCTGGGGAGCCCTCCCCTTGGGGAGCCACCGTGGCTGTCCCTCAGGCGCCTACACCCCAGGCCTCGGTCCCACTGATCCCCGCATCCCCACACCCCTTCGAGGAGTCGGCGGGTCCCCCCATTCATACCCCTCTCTCCCATTCACAGTCTGCCCCCCCACCATCACACACGCATCCCGCCCAGCCTCCTCTCCCCTCCACTTTTTCCGCTGCGTGTCACTGAGCGGCTGTGCGTGTGTCAGTGTGGCTGTGTCAGTGTGCGTGCGTGTGTGTGACTGCCTGCAGCTGTGTATGCGAGAGAGGGAGAGACGGAGCAAGAGAGAGGGATGGGGAGAGGGTGGGCTCCCAGCCCACCCCCCAGCTGTGTCCATCTGTGTGTCTCTGTGACAGCGTCTGTCTCTGTGTGTGACTTGGACCATCGAGAGGCTGTCTGGGGACTCTGTGTGTGTGTGTGTGTGTGTGTGTGTGTGTGTGTGTCTGTCCCAGGCACTGCGGCTGTTTCCCCACACCCACCCTCCCAGGCCAGGCCTGTCCCCTCCCCCACAGCCCCCCCCCCGCCAGTCCCTCTGTGTGTCTCTGCCCCGTGTGCTCCTCTCCCTGCCCCCAGGGGTCTGTGCCTGTGAGGGGCACGTGTGCCGAGCCATGGCTGAGCTTCTGCATGGGGAGCTGCATCTGCTGTGTGTACCACTTCTCAGCATGGGAGGGGGCCGGCTTCCCTGTATGGGGGCCTCTGTGCCAGCCATGGAGCTGCCCGCGGAGATGGGTACACGGGGAGGGGCCGAGTCCCGGAGGGGGTGCCATGTGCAGCCGCAGGCTCCAGGCTGTGGGAGCCTGGGCGTGTGAGAGGACCTTCAGGGTGGGGGTGGGGGGAGTGGACGCTGCTGCAGTCTCCGCGTGTGGGATCCAGGGAACAAGGGCCGGCCTGGGGCGCGTATTGTGTGTGCTCCTGCAGGGCAGGTAGTCAGCAGCCCAGCGGTGCCATTCCCATGGTGAATGGGGTGCTGCTGCGTGGGTAGCAAGGCTGGAGCAGGGGGTGGGGTTAGAGGGTCTGGGGGAGGGTGTCGGGATGGGAACGGAACGGGAAAGAGTGGGGCACACCGAAGTAGAGGCACCAGAGCAGGGAGGGTGCAGGGAGTGTGCGGAGCAATGGGGTAAGGAGGGCATGCAGGGAAAGCAAGGGAGATTGCGGGGGTGGGGGGGACAGGCAGTGTAGACAGAAAGTGCAGGAAATGCACAGGAAATGCAGCTGCAAGTAACAGGAGGTGGAAAGGTGTGCAATGGAGTGAGCTGAGGGTGCAGAGGAGGAGGCTTCCACAGATAGTGGGGCGGGGGGGAACCAGGGAGTCTGAGAGGAGCCCAGGGTGGCCTAGGGGAACACAGTGGGATTCGTGCAGAGGTGTGGGCAGGGGGGGAGTGGGTGGGATGAAGGCCAGGAAGGGCGCCAGGGGCCTGAGAGGAAGGAGAGGTCACAGGAAGAGACTTTGGGAAGGGGGGTGGGAGTGTGCCTGCAAGAGCAACATGGGAGGCAGAGGGGTGGCCCCATGGGTGTGATGAGGGCCTTGGGAAGTGAGGGCCAATGGTGGTCAGGGCAAGGAAAGCTTCCAGGAGGCATGGAGGAGACACGGAGGAGCTGGGAGCAAGGTACAGAGAGGGGAAGGGGACCCACTGGCGTGAGGGGAAGGGAGCATGCAGTCGCAGAAAGCTGTGGGGGCCAGAGTGCGGTTGGAAGTTCAAGGGTGATGTCGTGGGATGAGGGAGACACCAGTCGAGCTGGAGACTGGGCGAGAAAGTCGCAGGAGTGAGGAGAGGGAGGAACACATACATGTCGGGGATGCTCGAGAGAGAAGGGAAGTGGGGTGCTGTGATGATTTGGGGTGTTTGGACATTGTTGGGGTACATGGGTTGACAGTGAAGGATTCCACTGTTGGCTTTGACACTATTCTAGCCGGTGTGGTTTTGAGCAGGTTATCTCTCTGTGCCTCAGTTTCTTCATCCATAAAATGGGAAGAGTGGGCTGCCAGCCCCGAACCGCCCCTCCCCCCGGGGCTGTTTCTTGAGGACTAAAGGAATAAATGTAAAATGCTTGGGACCCCTGGCCGGCCTTTGGCTGTGGTTCAGTGCATGTTTCCCATTGTTGTCATGCAGTCGGCATAGCCGGGGACGGGCTTTGGGCGCCAGAGGGGCACTCGCGGCGGTGGACTTGGGGCAGGTGTGCCTGAGGTGTTTGTGGTGAGGTGCAGGGACAGGTGAGGTGGTGGACATGTGCCTGAGGTGTGTGTTTGGGTGCCGTGGAGGCCTCAGGGTGTCGCCACTGCAGTTGCCCAGGTGTTTCCCTGGGGGCTGTCGGAGAGCGTTGTTCACCCTGCGACCTCAGGCACATTGCCCTCCCCCCCGTCTGCACCTCTGTTTCCCGACTTGTGAAGTGGGAGCAGTCCGTACTCACGCCTCCCTCAGACAGAGGCTGGGAGTTATTTAGCTGGGAGGGTTTCAAGTACTGCCTCGCACATAGCGAGTGCTGCTTCTCGGCTTGTGATGGCTATGGGCGTTTCTTGAATTATGTTGGAGGACTGGGGTGTTTGGGGAAGGTTCATGTATGGAGTGTCAGGATAACGTGGGGCACAAAGAAGAGATTCCAGGGCCGGGGGAAGGCGTGGGGACACTAGGGGTTTGTGGCATGTACGAAAGAGGGTGAACTGGCTGTAGATGAGGAATTAAGGAGAGCTGAAGGGTACTGCCGGCCCCTTGGGACGCCCTAGAGGCCTGGAAAGGATATGGGGTAGCAAGGACAGGAGGAACTTGTCTGGGTGTGCGGTGGGGACAAAGGTGGGGCCCAGTGCATGGTCGAGAGCTGGCAGCCCTGACCTCCCAACCAGTTTCTGCTGGCCCTGTCCACTCACTGTTCCAGCCTTCTGGGCCTCCCTCCCCCCCCAACCCATTCTCTCCCCTCCCTCACTCCTTTCAACCCCTCCCTCCTCCTCTTCCCCCACCCGCTCCACTCAGCTGCAAAGGTAGCTGATCCCTGGGCTGAGTATAAAGGAAGACGAAACAGGTATGGTGTGCTCACGTTTGTGGGACTGTGGTGAACCTTGAGCAAGGGCAGTCGCAGGGGAGAGTCTCTGTGTACACACGTGTACACATGTGTGCTGTTGAGCCCCAGACTTACAACAAGGGGGGCTGTGGGGCCAGGGATGGCGCGCCTGCGCAGGAGCAGAACGCTGCCGCTAGGGTCTGCCGGATGTATGGATTTAACCGTGGAAGTCGTGGGGTGTCATGGGCGTGTACAGGGTGCCTGTGTGGCTGGGCAGGGGTGGTTGCCGGAACACAGCGTGTACTGGGACGTGTTCAGGGGGCGGGCATGCTGCGGGAATATACTGAGATCAGAGTGAGGGGGAGTCATCATTGCAGCATACTGGGACGTGTGGGGCTGTGACTGAAATATACTGGAGTATTCGTGGAGGGCTGTTTTGCCAAATCTGTGGGGGTAGGTAATTGGAGTGCGTGAGGAGCAGGCATGCTATTATTGGCGTGTGTTGGGGCCGGTGGAGGTAAGAGGAATATGTCGAGGGGGTCTGCATGTGCGCTGGATGGGCCTCAGACATAATAACTGCAGGGTGAGGGGGCGCAGCCAGCCATGGGCTGTGCTTACCTTGGAGTTCTCGCGTGTTCTGAAGGGGGTGGGGTTGGAGTCCAGCTATGCCTGTCGTGTACTGGGGTGCCTGCAGTGGAAAAGGTGTGTGATGTTGAGGTACACGGCAGTGACGTCGAGGTTTGGGGGCCGCATCTGAGCGAGCCCAGGTGGGTATGGAGATGCACGGAACACAGCTGAGCGTTTCCTGGGTGTGGGAGCAGACCTCTGTGGCCTTACTGAGAACCATCCCCACAGTCACTGGCACTTTGAGTTTTACTAGAATCTGCCCACTGAATGAGGAGATACATTTGAGATATACCAGGGAATATAGGAGTCAGCGTTGTCCTCCAGAACTTTCCTCAGCGATGAAAGGTTGTGTGTCTGCACTGTCCAGTGTGGTACCCACGAGCCTCGCATGGCTACTGGGCACTTTGAAGTGTAGCTAGTGAGACTGAGGGGCTGAATTTTTTCAATTTCGTTATTTTTTAAGATTTTATTTATTTTTAGAGAGGGGAAGGGAGGGATAAAAAGAGGGATAGAAACATCAAGGTGTGGTTGCCTCTCATGCGCCCCCTACTGGGGACCTGGCGCGCAACCCAGGCATGTGCCCTGACTGGGAATCGAACCAGCGACTCTTTGGTTTGCAGGCCCACGCCCAGTCTACTGAGCCACACCAGCCAGGGCTCGATTTAATTTTTAATTAATTAGTGTATAAATAGCCACATGCAGCTAGTGGCCACCATATTGGGCAGTGCCGAATAAGCAATGTTACAATATGCTTGGGGACCTGGGGAGGTATTGCTGTAGTGTATATATAGTCAGAGTCAGGAGGGGTATCAGCAAAGCACACGCGTGCTCTTGACTTCAAAACTCGACCGGAGACCGAGAAGGACTTCTCTCGAGCACATGTGATGTGCTGGGCGCTGTGCTGAATACTATCTGCACTTTGCTGCCACAGCAACCTGTCACGGGGAGCCTACTATTATAGATGAGGAAACTGAGACCCAAAAGGTTAAAGCTGCGGGCGGGCTCAAGGTCGCAGACCAGAAGTGGCGAGCAGGGGCTTGAGCCAGGCCAGGCTGTCTGGTGATCCGGCGGTGTGCCTGCCCGTCCCTTCATCCACGCCTGCTGCACAGTGGGCTGGGTCGCTGCCTGCTGAATGGATGGGTGGATGGATGCTCGGATGGATGAATGAGGAAAGAGTGAGTGGGAGAGCAGGCGCTCCGAGCTCTGCGGGGGAGGCCTGTCAGAGGTGCCGCCAGCAGACGCTCACTCCCGGAGTGGGAGAGGGAGATCCTCGGTGCCGTGAATGGTCCAGGAGCAGGGGCGCGGGCTGCCCATGGGGCCTGGCTCCGAGTCTCAGAGTCTCATGATCCCTTCTCCACCCGCTCCACCCCCACCCCTCCCTTCCCTCCCCGCCCCCCCCCCCAGCGATTACATCATTAAGGAGAAGACAGTTCTGCTGCAGAAGAAGGACAGTGAGGGGTTTGGGTTCGTGCTCCGGGGGGCCAAGGGTGAGTGTCGGCCGGGAGGGGATGGAAGAGTGGCTCTCCGACCCAGGGGGATGGACAGGGAAGGGGACCTTGGCCCACCTACCACCCCAACCCCAGGGTGCTGGTCCCTCAGCTACGGTGAGGCCTCCGTGACTTGGGTCTGAGCCCCATCCCCTGCTCGGCCTCTCCACCCCCTCCCCTCCGACCCCGCCGGCTCCTCCCATCTGCAGCGCAGACCCCCATCGAGGAGTTCACCCCCACCCCGGCCTTCCCGGCGCTGCAGTATCTGGAGTCGGTGGACGAGGGTGGCGTGGCATGGCGTGCGGGACTGCGCATGGGCGACTTCCTCATCGAGGTGAGTCTCACTGCCGCCAGGCTCCAGGCGCCTCTCCCAGCCCCAGCCGCCAGCCCACCTGCCACAGGCGCCCCTCTCTTCCCTGGGCCCCTGGTGACAAATACAAAGGCTCCTTGTGACCCACACCAGGGTCTGGCTGCCCCAGCACAGATCCTCCTTCGGCCCCAGGCCTCCCAGCCTCTGCTTTCTTCGTGGATTTAATCCCTAGGCCTTTCTGAAGTGTCTCAAAACACGACAGAGCTGTCCCCTGACAGGTGCACGTTCTCTCTCTCTCTGTTTCTCTCTCTCTCTCTCTGTCTCTCTCTGCAAGGGGGACACAGAGGGAGAGAGGGGGTGAGCAGGGTGGGCCCAGCCCCTGCCACAGCCCTGAGGCCTGGAGAGCTACAGGAACCGAGAGTTGGAGCCTTGAGAAGGAAGACAGACGGGTGGGGAGGGGCTGAGGGCAGGAGGGACTCTGAAGCGGGAAGCACCCCTCCCCCCCTCCTGGGTGTGACTAAGGCGTGTCTGTGCCACAGGTGAATGGTCAGAACGTGGTGAAGGTTGGCCACCGGCAGGTGGTGAACATGATCCGCCAAGGCGGCAACACGCTGATGGTCAAGGTGGTGATGGTCACCAGGCACCCGGACATGGATGAGGCAGTCCATAAGAAAGGTGATCCCCCCTACCGTTTGTCCAGGCCTGGCGTGCCACCACTGCCACCAGACTGAGACCCTCGGGAGCGTCCCACCACCCCACCGCTGGCCTTCCCTTCCTCGAGGTTGCTTGTCTGGGGCCCTTCTGGGGAGAAACGGAGGCAGGGAGAGCCCATCATGCTGGTGGCGGCTGTTTTCTGAGCTCTGGAAGCACTGTGGTGGTGTTGGAGGGGGGTCTCGGGGCTCTCCCCCCTGCGGTACTGATGCCTGACCCCCCACCATCCCCTCTTCAGCACCCCAGCAGGCTAAGCGGCTCCCACCCCCAGCCATCTCCCTGCGTTCCAAGTCCATGACCTCAGAGCTGGAGGAGATGGGTGAGCCTGTGGGGCTGCTGGGGCCCAGGTGCTGAGAGGGGAAGGGGCAGAGGGGGCGGCACCACCCTCGGGCTTATTAGTGTCGTTAGTGACCAGGGGTCCTTGTCCTCCTCCTGTCCCCAGTCCGTGGGCCAGACGGTCTCTGGCCTGCCTGTGTGTGGCTGGGAAGGGGCGTCTGTCTGAAAGTCGAGACTTGCCTCTGTCCTCTTGTATTTGTTTCGTTGTTGGCGTCTCTCTGGGTCTGTGTCCCTTTCTGAGGGTCTGTTTCCTTTCTAGCCCCTCTCTACCTATCCCGCCCCTTCTTCATCACCCCCCACCAGTTGCCCCCACCCCCACTAACAGAAAGGAAGGCCAGCCCCCTCGCTCCAGACCGAGCGGACCTGGGGGGTCCGGCGTCGGGCATCGGCCCACAGGGGCGGGTCAGGCAGCCGGCAGTCCCCACCCCGGGGGCCCTGCGGGAGGTGGGCGTTCCAGACAGGGGGCCCCTCGCCTCCCCCTGAAGTCCTAACTCTTGGCTCCTCTGCTGCCTCTCCCCCGGGCTAGTCTCCCCCTGGAAGAAGAAGAGTGGTGAGTGGGCACAGGACTGGCGGGAGGGCCCCCGTCCCGACCCCGCCGGCGGACTCGCCCCTCCCCGCCCCGGCCCCTCACTGCCCCACTCGCGCTGCACACGCCCGATGGCCACGCCCCCGGGCTACAGCGGCCTCCTTTGCCCACAGAGTACGAGCAGCAGCCGGCACCAGTGCCCAGCATGGAGAAAAAGCGGACTGTGTATCAGATGGCGCTCAGTAAGATGGACCACCCCTGCAGTCTCCCCCGGGCAGCCCTGGGCCCCTGACCCGGCGCACTGGGCGGTGCCATCCACTCTGTCCCTCTTCCTGCCGCTGACCACCCTCATACCCGGCCCCGCCCCAGCCCTCAGGCCTGAGTTCCCACTTCCCATGATGGCTGTCCTGTTCCGCCCCCCACCCTGCCCATCGCTGGGTCCTGCCTACTGGGCTGGATGCTGCATCTCCAGCAGGGCTGCCTGTCCACCCCCCGGGGTGGAGACAAGGGTGTCCTTTCCTGGTTCTCACAAGCTGCTGTGCGGGCTCCCAGCATCTCTGTCTCTGAGGCCAAAGCAACCTTCCTTGCGCTGTGTCTCCACCCCTCTTCTGCCTCCCCCTAGACAAACTGGATGAAATTCTGGCCGCAGCTCAGCAGACCATCAGCGCGAGCGAGAGTCCCGGGCCCGGTGGCCTCGCGTCCCTGGGCAAACACCGGCCCAAGGGTTTCTTTGCCACTGAGGTAGGCGGCCTGGGCGGGGGACTGGGGTCTTAGGGGATGGAAACTCGAGGGGTGCACACAGTGAGCTGGAGCCTCCATACCGTTGCTTGCAAATACTCCCTGAGCTCCTGTATTTAACGCCAGTCCTGCAGGTACCCCTCTTGCTGGGGTCCACTTCTTTCTCCCCACTCTAGGGCCTCCTTTCCTCTCTGCCCCTCCTCTTCTTCCTCGTTCTCACCACCTCCCCAGACCCACCTCTCTCTCTCTCTCTCTCTCTCTCTCTCTCTCGTTCCCCACTCCACTCTCCATTCCTGCACCTCACGCTTGCTCCCTCTCTGTCCATGTCTGTCCCACCGCGAAGGTCCCAGGGACGGTAAGCCAGTGTCACGACGGAGATCCCTGGCATGGGCCCAGCAAATACTAATGACTACTCAACAAGTGGTAGTTACTGCAATATTAATCATGATCTCTGTCTGGGCCCTGCCTGCTTTACCCTACGACAGAGCCGACTATAAGTGTTGATAGTATTTTAGACAGTGCGTTTCACGCGAGTCACGTCATTCATGCCTTAGCATCACCCTGTGAGGTACGCATGGTAGCCCACTCACAGAGGAGAAACAGGCTCAGAGAATGAGCCAGGATTTCAACCCGAGAAGTCAGGCCGCTGGATCCACAGTCCAGCCTCAGCCGTGGTCCTTCTGGTGGGGCCCTGCTGGCCCCTCTCTGGCTGTTGTCCCCATTGATCTGTGTCCCTTCATTGGGACACCCCCTCCCCCAGCTCTGCCCTCCACCCTCCAGTGGTCACACTCGGCTCCGCCTCTCTCTGAGCACTTCCTTCTTCTCTACACAGGCCCTGCTCTCTGACCTTGGCCTCTGAACCCCTCCTCACACAGCCCATCCCCTCCATCTGGTGGCCAAGGGACCATTTACTCTAAAACTAGGTTCTTGGGCTCCTGGGGGTGGGGGCCGTGGACCTCTTTGATGGGCCAGCATAGTGCTGAGAATTATGCTTATAGAGGCTTACAGTAAAATACCTAAGCTAGTCCTGGCTGGTGTAGCTCAGTGGATTGAGTGCGGGCTGCAAACCAAAGGGTCACCGGTTCGATTCCCAGTCAGGGCACATGCTTGAGTTGCGGGCCAGGTCCCCAGTGGGAGCCATGTGAGAGGCAACCACACATTGATGTTTCTCTCCCTCTCTTTGAAAATAAATAAATAAAATCTTCAAAAAAGAAAAGGAAGAAAGAAAATTAAAAAAAAAAAACCTAAGCTAACAAAATGAGCCAATTACATTGAATACAGTTATCAAAAATTTTTTAAAAAGCAAATGTATGATACAGGAATGCCAATTCCCATTCGTCACATTAGCCAGCAGGAGCTGGTGGTGGATCTTAACGACTCTAATTTCCAAGACAGAAGGAGCATAAAATACTATTTTGAGCAATTGCAAGCACGGCAATGAGATATGGAAATATCTGTGACTTCTGTCGGGGATGTAGTTGCAGGTCTTGCCGACACCACCATGGTGTGTGACCTACATTTTTAATTGAGGAAATGTTGCATTTTAGTTGTAGGGTAGTGGAAATAAAGATGTAATTTCTCTCCCGTCCAAGTGCATAGCCTACTCTGGAGAATCTGGTACTTTTACAAGAACCAAACGCAGGTGGGACGTTTTGTACCCAGACTTCGAGAACTTTCGTTCATTTTTAGAGGTGGAGGGTCCTCAGTCCCTTCTCAGGGCTTGGCAGAGTGCCCTGCATGCAGTAGATTCTCACTCCACACCTGCCCTTGGTTGCTCAAGGAATTGGAGGTCTTTGGAGCTCTAAGGGTCATCTTCTGTGCCTACCTGTCCACCAAGGTCTGGGTAAGAATCACCACATGGGTGATTCACATAGAGCCAGGCAGACCTGCTCCCAAATCCCGACTTCTTTTAGCTTTCTTGGACCATGCTACTTAATTTCTCTGCACCTCAGTTTCCTGTTCTGTAAAATGGGACAAACACCGGTCCTGCTGGTTCTTCCAAAGAATAAATGAGATCACTTGCTAAGTACAGCAAGTTCCTGACAGATGGTGAGCACCCTTGGCCGCAAAATAACAGACTGGAGACCCCATCGTGACTCTTGCACCCCAGGGACCCTAGCTGGCTCAGTGTGGAGTCTCCTATAACAGATTAGAGCATTTCTTCAGTGACTGTCTGGAGGCCCCATGAAGTGCCAGGCAGCCAGGGTGTCAGCCCCTCTCTGCATAAAAAGATCCCAGCTCTCACAGAATTCGCCCTCTGAGCTCCAAAGACACCCCTGGCTGGGCCCAAACACTGCCCAACAATAAAAGCAGCTGCCTGCCTGCCCCCATACCCCATGAGGTCTTCCTTGAGGCCTCCCTTCCCTCAGGGTGCAGTGGTCATTTCCCCCACGGGACCTCCCCTTTTCTTCTCTCCCCACTCTTGGGGCCTATCTCTGCGCCTTCCGCAAGCCCTCCCTCTGCTGTTGGGGCTCTGTCTTTCCCTTCCCACGTGGCAGCCTGTCCCGATCTTCCTCACCCTGCACCACTGCAGGGGCCCCTTCCTGACATTTCTGCGTGTCCTCTCTGCAGCCTCTCTCTCGGTGTGTGGCCTTGTCCTCTGTGTCCCCATTTCCCATCTGTTTCGGTTTCCATCCCCTCTTCAGTCTCCCTCTCGCACCCCTCTGCCCTAGACCAGAGGGGGCAAGCGAGTGGGCAGGATGGGGACCCAGTGCAGCCCCGAGGCCTCTCTTATCAGATGTGCCCAGCAGTGAGCTAGAGCAGAATATCGTACAAGACGCCACTGGTCTAAACTTAAGAACTGGGAGGTTTCGGCCCTCCCTAAAAGACACAACTCTGCATAAAACCTGTGGGGCCAGGGAAGACCCCCTCGGACCAACGGTGGGGGCACAGACCCCTGGCCAGTCCACTGTGGGTCAGGGCGCTTCTTGGGTTCTGTCTCCTCCCGGGCTTTGCTGTCCAACCATCTGGCCTCCCCTCTGTGTGGCTTTGGTTTCTGGAAGAATGTCTCTGCTACCTGGTCACTGATCCCGGCCCCGCATGCCAGGGGGTCCCTTGCCCATCCTCTCTCCCCCACCACCCTGTCTTTGTGCCGGTGCGGCTTTCAGCCTTTCTCTGGACTCGGTTTCTCCCTCCGATTATTTTTATCACAGCTTCCTGGTTGCACTCTCCTTCTCTGTCTCACCCCAGGGAGAGCTTCAGCCCTCTCCGTTGCAGGGTCTCTCAGGGCCGACTTTCCCGCCTCACCGCATCCCTCTTCCTTCCCATTGCTGTTTCATTTCCTCTCCTGTCCCTCAATCTGTCTCTCCTCCCTCTGGACCTGAATCTCTGTCTCATTTCTCCCTCATCTCTCTCTTTCTCCCATCTCCCTTTTTGTCTATGTCTGTCTCTCCATCTGTCTCCCATTCCTTTCTCTCTCCCTGGACCCCTTTCGGGGGCTGTCTCCGTGGTGTGAATTTCCCAGCCCATGGTCAGCTTCCAGCCGGTGTTCAGCGCCAGGGCTCGTATTCTGTCAGTGCGGCACCAGACCCACAGACTGCCCAAGAGGTGGCACAGCGGGAGGCTGGACCTCTGGACCACTCGCTGGGGAGGAGTCTGCCTGGCAGCTGGTGACGTCAGGTGCACCTGGTGCCCCGATTGGCAGCCTGGTAGGCACGGGAGCAGGTGCTACATGTTTGTTGATGGTCAGCCTGTCCCACCTTGAGTCAATCCGCTCCTCAGGTGGTCAGTTCACTTCCTCAGAATCACTTATGGATCCTCTGTTAGTCTGACATCTCTTCTGCCACTCTGACGCCTTATGACATCAAGCTAACCCATTAGTTGATCCTCCCTTCCAATTCGATGTGTCCCTCTGTCCGTCTGTAAATCTCTTGCCCCTCTCTCCACTCTGCGCCTTCTTCCATTAGGGGCGCTCTTCCCCCCTCACTGGGACTCCTCCTCTATCTCTCTGACCCTTCTCCTGTCCCTTGGAGCCCTCCCTTGACACTCAGACCCCCCACCCCTCCGCAGGGCCCTTAGCAGATGCATCCCTCACCTTCCTTCCCTCTTCCCAGCCACCCCTTGCCCTTCCTTCCCAGGGTGGGATGGACTGTACTCCGTGTCCTCCCAGCCTGCTTCTGCCCCTCAGTGGTCCCTGCATCCTTTCTGACAGGTCACAGCCCTTTTCTCTGCCCTTCGTGACCCTTCTTCTTCCCTCTTACTTACCTTAAGCATTTTCTAGTCACTCCAGGATGCTTTCTACAAGAGCTGTGTAACCTCCTCTTACTGGCTGACCTAGGGCACAACCCTTCTCTGATGCCCAGCCTCTTTCACTGTCACTGGAGTGGGTGTAACCAACCCTAACTCACAAGTCTGAGGATTCAGTGAGGACTTCTATGTAAACTAGCTGGTGAAGGGGCTTGCAGGGAAGTGGCTCCCTTCACTTTCCTTCCCTCCCTCTCCCCCCACCCGCCCTCTCTCTCTCCCTCTCCCCCCCTCTGCATCACCACCCAATCTCCCCTCTTTTATGGGGTTCGGCTCCCTGATACCTCACAGGTCATCATGAGCTTCAGGACAGGATGGAAAACCAAGCAGGATGTTCAGCTGGGGCTTAGGGAGAAATGGCTTAAAGAGGACATGTGAGAAAGGCATGCAGCAAAGTCCAGAAGAGTTGGGAGGCTGAGAATTCTGCTCAGGGAAGATCAGAATGGGGGAGACCAGCCGAAATGGGCATGTCTTCAGGAGACGCCTTTTCGGGGCCAACGGGCTGCTGGTTCACGGGGATGTTCAGATGAACAGGACTGGGGGTTTGCCTTCAGAGTGCTCCCCCCTATCTCATCGTGAGCTTGTGTCACTCCCAATCAGTCCTTCATTCTACAAACATTTATTGATCGCCTGCTGTGTGCTGGGCTGCTGGGGTGCTCACCTGCTGCTGGGCTCTGAGGGCGTAGGAGTAAACCCATCCATCAAAGTCACTTCCCTTAGAATATTAACATTCCTGGGGCATTGTGTAGAATGGGGTACCTCTGTATATAAGAGAAACCTCCAAATAGCAATGTCTGACATTGGCTCTTTCTGAGTTTCTCTTTATGAAGATTTATTTCTTTTTAGAGAGAGAAGGGAAGGAAGAGAGGGAGAGAAACATCAATGTGTGGTTGCCTCTCGAGCGCCCCCTACTGGGGAACCTGATCTGTCCAGCAACCCAGGCATGTGCCCTGAATGGGAATCCAACCTGGGATTCTTTGCTTCCCAGGCCAGCTCTCAATCCACTGAGCCACATCAGCCAGGGCTCCTTCTGAGTCTCTTGTTCTTTTGACAGGAGCTTATAGAGCATCAGGCCTTGTGTAGGGACTGAGGACCCAGCAGACAACACCCACAAAGCCGCCATCCTGAAGCAGTTATCTATGACTTCCATGGGTCTTGAGCAGTTTTGCCTTTGTGAGCCCCGACCTCCTTTAAAAAAAATTTTTTTTAAATCTCTATTTTATGACTATGTTGGTACAAAGATGAATATTATCCAGATTGATTATATTTTTCCCCTTTCTTTTTTTTTAATATTTTATTATTTTTAGAGAGGGAAAGGAGGGAGATAGAGAGAGAGAGAGAAACATCAATGTGCGGTTGCTGGGGGTTATGGCCTGCAACCCAGGAATGTACCTTGGCTGGGAATCGAACCTGGGACACTTTGGTTCCCAGCCCACGCTCAATCCACTGAGCTATGCCAGCCAGGGTTTATTTTTCCCCTTTCTGATTGTAAAAGAAATTAAAACATTTCCCCTAAAAGGACCATGGGCTCTCGAGACGGTGCCCCATCTTACCTGGGATGATATGCAGTGCCTTCAGGGAGCTGACATTCTAGGCCAGGAGACAGACAATAAGCCAGTAAAGGAGATCATCTCAGATGGAGAAAAGAGCCAGGAAGAAGACAGGATGAGGGACATGCAGTAGACCGTGCCTGGGAGGGGACAGTGGAGCAGAGAACTTAAAAGATGGAGAGGACCTGTGACGATGACAAGGGAACCATTGCTGAGAGGAGATCCGGGACTTGCAAGTCTTCTAAAGCACAGACGGACCTCAGGGCCTGGGGGGAGTGGGGCAAGGGGGCCACGGTGCAACCAGAGTGAGCAGGAAGGTGGGGGGGGCGGGGGGCTAGATCATAGAGAGTAAGTGAGTATGGGTCTCCCGCCAACCATGGGTAACCTGTAGTGGAGTAAGGGAGGCTCAATGGGCTGCAGAGGACAGCAGACCTGGTCCCTGCCGGAGCCCACCTTCAGCCTGGTCCCTCGGAGAGCTCTGCAGTGTGAATTGCACTCAGGGGTCGATCCTGCCGTGGACCTCCATGCTAGTCAGTCATTGGCTGCAGGTGGCCCCCAGGAGTGGGGGCATGTGACAGCTTGGGCACATCCGCTCCTCTGGGGGTGGGTGAGTCTACAGAGCAAAGGGCAGATGACACCGCAGCTGGGGATGAGCACAGCACCCTGGTCAAGGGGGCCTGGGGCCTGGGGCTGGCAGTGTCTGCAGCAGCAGAGGGGCGCAAAGACCAGCGCTGGGAATTCAGATCCCTTTCTGACCAATGCAGGATGTGACTGTCGGATTTGAAGCAGGCCAGTAGCATGACCTGAATTACTTTTTGAAAAGTTCCGTCTGACCCTGTGTGGCGGTGTGTGGGGGTGGGGAGGAAAAGGGTGGCCACAGGGAGACAAGGGAAGAGTCTACCATGGCCATCCAGGCAGGCGATGGTGGTGACTCGGGCCTGGGCAGTCACATGGGGAGTGGAGACAGGTACCCAGAGGAGTGACAGCATGGGACACAGAGCCAGCCAGGACAACTGAAAAACCTTCCTTTTCCTTCCTTTCTCCCCACTGTCCAGACTCAGAAACCTTTCTCTCTGCCAGAATCCCCTTCCACCCGCTCCAGAACCCTCTCCCTGCCTGCAAAAGCTGGTAGAAGGGATGGGTGATGGCCGTGTACGAAAGGCTCAAGTCTTCCCGCCCTGACTGTTCTCCCTCTGCTGTCTTTTCTCTCCCCTCTCTGACTGCCACCCCAAAGTCGAACTTCGATCCCCACCACCGCTCGCAGCCAAGTTATGACCGTCCTTCTTACCTGCCTCCAGGACCTGGGCTTATGCTCCGGCAAAAGTCCATCGGTATGTTGCCCGAAGGGTGGGTGTCAGGGCTGCCGGCAGGGGAAGGGGAGGCTGGGAAGGTGACTTCACAGCAGGAACAAAGGGGCCTGAAAATGTCCTTTCTGCTTCCCTGTGTGACCACAGCTCCATGATGCTGGGCAGAGAGCTCAGGCTTTGCTGCTGGGCAAACCTGGCTTTGAATCCTGTCTCTTATCCATCCCAGTTGTGTGGCCTGGGACAAGTGGCTTTACTTCTCTGGGCCTAGGGCTCTGCATCTGGAGAATGGAGAGATTATTGCCCCTGCCCAAATGCATTTGATTTGCCCCCGCCGCAGACCCTTGTCTTATACTTGACTCCACTCATTCATTCATCCGTCCGTCCATCCATCCATCCATCCGTCCATTCTACAAATGCTTATTGAGCACCATTGTATGCCAGATTAGACTGGAGGGGGTATGTCAGTGACCAGAATAGGCCATAAAGGGTCCTGCTCTCATGGAGCTTGCATGAAGGGAAGACAGGTGACATGTTATAAAGATTTAAAAAGAAAACAAGGAAATTATATAGGATGTTCAATGTGTGAAGTGCTATGGAAAAATAGAAAAAGTAAAGTAGGATAAGAGAGATCGCAAGTGCTGGAAGGGGCAGGTCTGGGCCAAAACTTGGGGATGAAGCAGGGAGCCATGGCGATCTCCAGAGGTGAGGCATTCCAGGCAGCAGAAGCAGCCAGTGCAAAGGCCCTGAGGTAGAGCTGAGCTGCCATTTGCTATAAGATAGGGGAGACCAGGGGTGGGATGAGATCAGGAGTGGGGTCCATGCGGGGTCTGCTGGGTCTGAGATGCCAATGAGACATTAAGTGGAGGTGGCATTTAGCTATAGGAGCCTGGAGCTTGGGAGAGGATTCGGCCGGAGGCAGAGGTGGGATTCTCCAGCAGAGAGGCAGTGAATGAAGCGGAGACTTCAGTCAAGTGAGAGGGTAGCCGGGGACTTGAGACGGGGGTCAGAGACAGAGCCCTGACAGTTGATAAACAGGCAAAGGACTTCACTTCTCCAGTCTTAGACTATGAGTGGTGTTGCTAATTGGATCCAGTTTTCCTCAGCTTCCAGTGTCCACAGTCTACCAGTGTGTGTCTGCATCTGTGAGGTCTACCTGTATCTCATCATTGACCTAATATCAGCCACCGATAAAATCTACAGAACGCCGCAAATCTACCAGTCGACCCCCTCTTTTAATCATGAGCCTCATCCTGAGCAGTTCTGTCTGTGAAATCACGGGTGTGATGTGCTAATTGCCTTTCATGTCTGTCCATACATAAAGAGAAATCCGTAACGATGCATGTAACCATGGCATCTCTTCCGGGCTCGAGCGGCTCTTGCTCACCCCGAGCCCCCACCACTAATACCGCGCTTTTGTCTGAGTTGGAAAGGGCGCCCCCTCCTGGCCCTGGGTGGAAGTTCAGCTGAATTTCGCCCCGGCCCCGTTGCTTTCTGGGCTGTTGGGTGCTGTGTGGCGCACACGCTGATTTGGATGCACCAGCGCTGAGAATTCGTGTGAAGGTCTTCCATACAGGGGTGCCACTATTGTTGTTGTTGTTATTTTAACCGATAATTGTAGTTCTGCCGGATAGGGTACCAGGGAGACTCCCACCCCCACCCCGCCCCACTCCTGGCTCGTCTGTGTCTCCCCAGGGGCTGCAGAAGACGACAGACCCTACCTAGCACCCCCAACCATGAAGTTCAGCCGCAGCCTGTCTGTGCCTGGTTCGGAGGACATCCCCCCGCCTCCCACCACGTCCCCTCCAGAGCCCCCGTACAGCACCCCTCCAGCCCCTTCCATCTCCGGCCGCCTCACGCCCTCCCCCCGCGGAGGGCACTTCAACCCGGGCTCAGGGGGCCCCCTCCCCGCCTCTTCCCCCGCCTCCTTTGATGGGCCCTCCCCTCCCGACACCCGCCTCGGGGGCCGGGAGAAGAGCCTGTACCACGGCGGACCCATGCCCCCCGCGCACCACCACCCGCCGCACCACCACCACCACCACGCCCCTCCCCCGCAGCCCCACCACCACCACGCCCACCCCCCTCACCCCCCGGAGATGGAGACCGGCGGCTCCCCCGACGACCCCCCACCCCGACTGGCTCTGGGGCCCCAGCCGAGCCTGCGCGGCTGGCGGGGCGGCGGGCCCAGCCCGACCCCGGGGGCCCCGTCCCCGTCGCACCACGCCAGCGCGGGCGGCGGCCCCTCCCAGGCGCCGGCCCTGCGCTACTTCCAGCTGCCCCCTCGGGCGGCCAGCGCGGCCATGTACGTGCCCGCCCGCTCCGGCCGCGGGCGCAAGGGCCCGCTGGTCAAGCAGACCAAAGTCGAGGGCGAGCCGCAGAAGGGCGGCGGCCTCCCGCCCGCGCCTTCCCCGGCGTCTCCCGCGTCCCCGCAGCCGCCGCCGGCCGTGGCCGCGCCGTCGGAGAAGAACTCCATCCCCATCCCCACCATCATCATCAAGGCTCCGTCCACCAGCAGCAGCGGCCGCAGCAGCCAGGGCAGCAGCACGGAGGCCGAGCCCCCGGCCCAGCCCGAGGCCGCCGGCGGCTCCTCGGTGCCCAGCCCCGCCCCGGCCATGTCGCCGGTGCCGCCGTCCCCGTCGCCCGTGCCCACGCCCGCCTCGCCCAGCGGCCCGGCCACCCTCGACTTCACCAGCCAGTTCGGGGCGGCCCTGGTGGGGGCGGCTCGCCGGGAAGGCGGCTGGCAGAACGAGGCCCGCCGGCGCTCCACGCTCTTCCTCTCCACCGACGCGGGCGACGAGGAGGGCGGCGACGGCGTGCTGGGCGCAGGCGCGCCCCCGGGCCCCCGGCTGCGCCACTCCAAGTCCATCGACGAAGGCATGTTCTCCGCCGAGCCCTACCTCCGGCTGGAGTCGGCGGGCGCCGCGGGCGGCGGCTACGGGGCCTACGCGGCCGCCAACCGCGCCTACGCGGGCAGCGGAGGCAGCAGCGCCTTCACCAGCTTCCTGCCGCCGCGGCCCCTGGTCCACCCGCTGACCGGCAAGGCCCTGGACCCAGCCTCCCCGCTCGGGCTGGCCCTGGCGGCCCGCGAGCGGGCGCTGAAGGAGTCCTCGGAGGGTGGGGGGACCCCCCAGCCACCTCCCAGGCCCCCATCGCCCCGCTACGAGGCCCCGCCGCCCACCCCGCACCACCACTCACCCCACGCCCACCACGAGCCCGTGCTGCGCCTCTGGGGAGCCTCCCCGCCGGACCCCGCCCGCCGGGAGCTGGGATACCGGGCGGGGCTGGGCGGCCAGGAGAAGGCCCTTCCGGCCAGCCCGCCAGCTGCGCGGCGCTCCCTGCTGCACCGCTTGCCCCCCACAGCCCCCGGGGTCGGGCCCCTCCTGCTGCAGCTGGGGCCCGAGCCGCCCGCCGCGCACCCCGGGGTGAGCAAGGCCTGGCGGTCGGGCGCCCCCGAGGACGCCGAGCGGCTGCCTTTACACGTGCGGTTCCTCGAGAACTGCCAGCCGCGAGCCAGCGGGGCGGGTGGCAGGACGCCCCCGTCGGAGGACGGCCCAGGGGTGCCGCCGCCCAGCCCGCGCCGGTCTCTGCCGCCCTCGCCCACCTCCCCGCGGGGCAGTGAGGAGAACGGGCTCCCCCTGCTGGTCCTGCCGCCCCCCGCTCCGTCGGTGGACGTGGAAGACGGCGAATTCCTCTTCGCCGAACCGCTGCCCCCGCCCCTGGAGTTCTCCAACAGCTTCGAGAAACCCGAGTCGCCCCTCACCCCAGGGCCTCCACACCCGCTGCCGGACCCGCCCACCCCGACGACCCCGCTGCCCCCTGTGCCACCCCCTGCCGTCGCGGCTGCCCCTCCTGCCCTGGACTCCACCGCATCCAGCTTGACTTCGTATGACAGTGAGGTGGCCACCCTGACCCAGGGGGCGCCCGCGGCTCCTGGGGACGCCCCTCCTCCAGGCCCGCCAGCCCCAGCCGCGCCGGCCGCCCCTGCCCCGCAGCCCGGGCCAGACCCTCCCCCCGGCACGGATTCTGGAATTGAGGAGGTGGACAGTCGGAGCAGCAGTGACCACCCTCTGGAGACCATTAGCAGTGCGTCCACGCTGAGCAGTCTGTCTGCCGAAGGTGGTGGCAGCGCAGGGGGCGGTGGTGGCAGTGGTGGCACCAGTGTAGCCAGTGGACCGGAGCTTCTGGACACGTATGTGGCCTACCTGGATGGCCAGGCCTTTGGGGGGAGTGGTAGTCCTGGCCCACCATACCCCCCACAGCTCATGACTCCTTCAAAGCTCCGAGGCCGGGCCCTGGGGGCCCGCGGAGGCCTGCGGCCCGGCCCTGGTGGGGGACTCCGAGACCCTGTCACTCCCACGAGCCCCACCGTCTCCGTGACAGGGGCTGGAACCGATGGGCTGTTGGCCCTGAGTGGTTGTTCGGGACCCTCGGCGGCAGGTGTGGCTGGGGGTCCGGTAGCTGTAGAGCCAGAAGGCCCACCAGTGCCCTTGCCGTCTGCCTCGTCCCTGCCTCGGAAGCTGCTGCCCTGGGAGGAGGGCCCCGGCCCGCCACCGCCGCCCCTGCCCGGGCCCCTGGCCCAGCCTCAGGCCTCAGCCTTGGCCACAGTAAAAGCCAGCATCATCAGCGAACTCAGCTCCAAGCTTCAGCAGTTTGGGGGTTCCTCGGCAGCTGGTGGCGCTCTGCCCTGGGCCCGGGGAGGCAGCGGGGGCAGCGGGGACGGCCACCACGGGGGAGCCAGCTACATCCCGGAGAGGACCTCCTCCCTTCAGCGGCAGAGGTGAGCAGAGGCCAGTCGTTGGCAGTGAAGGCCAGAAGGGCCGATGCTCTGGGTACCAGAGTCCACCCTCCCCGTAGCTGTGTCCCTTTGGGGTCCCCCTGTGGTAGAAGACAGAAACCAGGCCAGCTCGGCGAAGTTTGCCCTCAAAGAAACATGCTTTCAGGTGCTTTAAACTTCCTTTCATCTCAGTAGCTTCTGTGGTCTCCTCCCATCACCATGACAACCCACATGCCATGATGAACAGAAAGAGTTATTAACAAAGGAGGTTGGAGGCCAACTTGCCTTTGTCTGTTTCCTTGGCGGGTTGTCAGTTCTGAAGATCCCTGAAATCTACGCGTCCCTTGAACCCACTGTGGCTCAAGAGGAGATGCTTTAGGGCACAGTGGTTACATGTGTGATTCTGGAGCCAGGCTTCTTGTGGTTCCAGTCCCAGCACTTTCTAACTGGGGGACCTGAGGCCAAGGAGTCCACCTCTCTGTAGAAGGAGGGCAGCATCGTACCCACCTAAAAGCGTTTTTAAGACCATTGTTGTAACATGAGATGAGGGGGCAGGGCCCAACGAATACAGAAGGAGAAATGTAGGATGCCAGCGTTTTCCGAAGCAGCTAGCTAGCCGGGATTGCCACAGAGTTCAAGTTCATTCAAGACTTAGCTTTAAGGAAAGCAGAGTCACATGTCTGACTCTACTCCACAGACGCAGAGAGAGCAAAAAGAGGTTTTCTAATCCCCTTGTTCATCTGCAGAGCTCACTCTGATTCTGTCTGAAGGTCTGATGTCCTTATGGTTGGTATCTGAATGTGGTTTTATCAGGCCTTTGAGATCTTAGGGCAACCCACCGAGTATTCTTAAGTATTCTGGGTAGAGGAAAAGATGCTGGATTTAGATGACAGCTGAACCATTGCTGGTTTTGCACCTACTGTGCGCTGAGAGCCGTTCTGCGTGCGAGGGCCCCACAGTGGACAAGACAGGCAGAGCATTGCCCTCACAGAGTTCGTAGTCCAATGAGACAGAGGTAGACGCCAGACAACGAAATTATTTCAGTCACCGGGGCAGCAGGGATACAAATGGGGGATGGCTAGAGAAGGGCTTGATGGCAAGATGAGTAGACACTGGAAGAGGGGAGGAAGCAAATGGCATAGCTACTTGGGGGGAGCAGTGAGCCAGACAAAGGGAACAGCCAGTTCAAAGGCCCTGAGGCTGGACTGTTCTGGAGGGAGCTAAAGGGATGAGGGGAACCTTTTTCTCCCCTTGTTTCTTCTCTCTTTCATCTCCTTCTCCCCATCTCTCTCTCTCTCTGTTCCCTGTCCCCTTCCATCTCTCTCTCTCCCCCACCCCCCAATGCTCACCTTCTTTTTGTTCCTCTCCCACCGTCTCCCTGTCTTCCACTCCGCTGTGACTGGCCATAACCCAAAAGGCAGTATAGAATAGTGGTTAAGAGCTCAGACTTCGGTGCCATATAACGGGCTCTGCCACTTCCTGGCTGTGTGTCCTTAGGCAAGTTACTTAACCTCTCTGTGCTGCTGCTGCTGCTGCTGATGATGATGATGATAATAGTAACCTGCACCAGGGCTGTCGTGGGGATTAAATTGAGATGCAATATGTAAAGCACTTAACACAATGCCTGGCACACGTGAGCGTCAGTAAGTGGTGACGATTATTATTATTATCACTTAATGTCTCTTTTTCTTTCATTTCTCTTTACTGTCACCCTCTCCCTGTCCTCTCATTTTTCTCTCCCTTCATTTCTGTCCTGGCATCCATCTTACCCCCTCGCTCCTTCCATCTCTGCCCATCTCTCCTCTCCATCTTTCCACCCCCCACCCCTATGTCTTTCTTCCTCTCTCCCTGTATCTTGACCTCTTCCTGTTTCTCACCCTGCCCTGACCCCCCCACCCCCTCTCCTCCACCCCGCCCGCTTGTCACATTCCAGACTGTCGGAAGACTCCCAGTCCTCGCTCCTCTCCAAACCCGTCAGCAGCCTGTTTCAGAACTGGCCCAAACCACCTCTGCCGCCACTCCCCACAGGAACTGGGGTCCCCCATTCCGCTGCTGCGGCCCCCGGGGCCACCTCACCCTCAGCCTCCTCCTCCACATCCACCCGCCACCTCCAGGGTGTGGAGTTCGAGATGCGGCCGCCTCTGCTCCGCCGGGCGCCCAGCCCCTCGCTGCTGCCCGCCTCGGAGCACAAGGTCAGCCCTGCGCCCCGGCCCTCGTCCCTGCCCATCCTGCCTTCCGGACCCCTCTATCCGGGCCTCTTTGACATCCGCAGCTCCCCCACCGGAGGGGCAGGAGGCTCGGCCGACCCCTTCGCCCCCGTCTTTGTGCCACCGCACCCGGGGATGTCCGGGGGGCTTGGTGGAGCCTTGTCGGGAGCCTCCCGCTCCCTCTCGCCGACCCGCCTGCTTTCGCTACCCCCCGACAAGCCGTTTGGCGCGAAACCTCTGGGGTTCTGGACCAAGTTCGACGTGGCTGATTGGCTCGAGTGGCTGGGCTTGGCTGAGCACCGGGCCCGGTTCCTAGACCACGAGATCGATGGGTCCCACCTGCCCGCCCTGACCAAGGAGGACTACGTCGATCTGGGTGTGACCAGGGTGGGCCACCGCATGAACATCGACCGGGCTCTCAAATTTTTCCTGGAGAGGTGATGGCTGGCTCGGGCGGACCAGCCCGTCCACCGAACCCTTGAGCCTGCTGGCCTCTGGACCTTTGACCCCTGACCCTTATTCTCTCCCTGGGCCAGGGACTCTGCTAAAACTGTGCCCTGCCCTCATCTCCCAAGGCTGGAGGTCACCAGGTGGCCTGATTCCGGCCAGACATTTGCACCTCACAGGAGGGGGCAGCTGATACTAGACTGTGTGTGTGTGGAGCTGGGAGCGGAGGGAGTGGGAATGGGAGAAATCTCTGAGGGGATGGAGAAGGAGGGAAGGGTCGATTCTGGGAGGGGGGGGACAGACAGAGCCATAGAGGGCCATCCCTGAGCCTGACTGGATGGGGGGTCATCCCCCAGGCCGCAGGGGAAGGGGGTGCCCTCAGATTCCACCACCTGCCGCCCCTCTAACAACCCTTCCCCCCTCTCCAGGCCCCTCTGTTCCCTCGCCTTCCCCTGCCCCTGGCACACACAGCAGCCCCCCCCCAGCCTCTTGCACGCTCCTTTGCACGCCTGCTTGCCTCTCTCCCCTCCCTGGGCTACAATTTTGCACAAATTTGCCCTCTCGCTGTCTTGCACATTCCGTCTTCGCTTCCGTCCCGTGAGGCCCTCTCAGCTCTGTTTCCCTCGCACACTTGGTATTGCTTTTCCCACGCTCCATGCCCCCTGCTCTCTCCAACTCTCGCTTACACGCTCTTCCCTTGGCGTCTACCCTGTCGCACCTCACTTCCGAAAATCTCTGGGCCCTTGCTGCAGACACACTTGGGACACCCTTTCCCTGACCCACTCACAGGCTCTGTGCACACATTCGTTCTGTGGAATACCCTTCTCTTCGTTCAACCCTTGCACACTCGCTATCCATGCACTTCTCCAAACACACTTGACTGCATTTTCTTTAAGCACTTTCTTATTCTTGAACCCGAACATCCTTACTCTCCCCCATTCTTTGCCTGTCATGGCAACACTCCGATGCCCCTCCTTACCCTGAACCCTCTCAGTCACTTCTTACCACATGGCTTGCACACTTGCTCCCCAGGAACTGTTTCTCTCTGAAATGCTCCTTCCTCTCCTCTTTGCCAGGCTCCCACTCCCCCGCACCCTCTTTTTCCAAGTCTTTGTCCATCTCCATCAACTCCTTTGTGGACCTTTTTGCACACTCTCTCGCACGTGCATCCTCCCCAGCACCTCCGCTGCTCTTTCGAAGCCTTTTTCTTTCCTTTAGCAATGTTCTTGTTCCCCGTGGCTTGGCTGCAACACTTGAATTTCTACTTATTCTTGTCAGCTCCTGGGCAACTTTCTCCATCTCCCCGGGGAACTCTGCCGCCTCTTGCCTTTTGCACACTTGGCTCCCTCCACACTTCCGACCTGTACTTTGATTTCTTTTCCTGGCAGGTTTGCCTTCTGTCCCCGTGAAGGAACAGCTGCTGCGGCCATCCGCAGTCTGCCTGTTCTCTCCTGCCTTTGCACTCTTTTCTCTTTCTGGCAAGAGAGGACCCTACACACGCTCCCTTCTTGCTCACTGTGCTTCCTCCCATCCCTGCTCCGGCCTTTGCTCTCCTGCAAATCCTCCCTCCTCCCATCCTTCCTGGGCCATCTGTCTTTCCATTTTGCACGAAGACCCCCCCCAACACTTCCATTTCTCCAAAAACTCCGTCTCCCTCCAGCATGGCTCTTCTTCCCGCACGCTTCCCCCCTCCCTTTATCCCTGGGGCTTGGAAATTTTAAACCACCCCTTCCCCTGGGTAGCCCCCTCCCCTATTGTGGGTAAAGGGGGGAGGGCATCGCCCTCAGGTCCCCCCATGTTCAGCTGCCAAAGAAGGGAGCTCCCCCTCCTTCCCCCAAGCCCATTCCCCCTCTGTTGCCCCCACCCCCGAGGGGGGGGGGCTCCGTCCATGTGGGGGAGGGTGCTTGCAGCCCTCTCCCCTCACCACGTCAGGGATCTGCGGGGAACCTTGTGGGAGGGTCGTGGGAGGGGGGAGGGGTGGCAATGAGGGGGCGGAGGTCGCGCTGGGCCCCTACCCGCCCCCTCCCCCTCGTCGGATGCCCCCGTCCGCAGGGGGCCTGCGCGGCGCCTGTCTATCAAGGGCTTGATCATTCTGGATGGGTGCCGCGGGGTTGGGGAGGGAGTAGGGGGTGGGGAGGGGGGAAGGAGAAGTGGGGGGGGAGGGGAAAGGGACTGGATGGGGGTGCAGCGCGGGGCGGAGAGGAGAGACAAAGCAAAAAGAGTTACAATAACAAAAGAAAATGCAAAAAAGAAAAAAGTACCCTAGAACTCACAAAAAAATCCAGAAAAAAGCAACCTGAAATAAAAGCCCGGAGAATTGTCTTCCAAGGGGGCGGGGGTGGGAGGAGGAACAGGAAGGGGGATGAGGATCTCTGGTTCTCTCTGAGACAGGGATCGGCACGCGTTGAAAGCCCCGGCGCCCAGGTCCTCCCTCTCGCGGGCCTCAGTTCATCCCTCAAGGGATTGGGACCTAGGCGTCCATTTGCAGGGACTGAGGGAAGATTAGTAAAGTGGGATTATATTATGGGGTTTCGTCCTTATCCCCCATCATCTCCCCTGACTTCCCACCAAGATTTTGCAGAGAGAAATGGCTTTTGTACCAGGTCATTCTTTATAATTAAACTCACAGTATCCACCCCCTCGAGCTGGCCCCGCCTCCTTCCTGGGGAGGCAACGCCCCCTTTCCTCCCGGGTTCCGCGTGAATCGCCCGAACCAGCTGGGCGTTGAGCAAGCGCAGCCGGAGCGCGTCCTCACTCGTCAGTCTTCCACGGTCGGCTCCGCCCCCAGAGCCTCGAGCATGCGCCGTCGGACGAGGGAGCGGCGCAGGTGCAGGCGGTAATCGCTCAGCAACAGTTCGTCGTGGCGAGCTAGCGGGTGCGCTAACCCGCGGAGGCGGAGCCCGGAGCGCAGCAGGCGGGAGCGGGTCTGAAAGTCCGTAACCGTGATGAGCCACCTGCAAGGGGGCGAGCCAAGAGAAGAGGGGTGGGTGGAGACGGAAGAGTAATCGCTGCTGGTCCCAGCCCCGCCGTTCATTGTCGAAATGTCCCTGCCTGGACCCTGTGCGTTTACCTTCTCAGGTCCCTCAACCCATCACCCCATCCCTAAGCCTCTCTCTAGCCTTGACCTCTCGCCGAGATCAACCTATATACTTCGACCCTCACCTGGGTCATTCTAGAACCCGTCTTTTCTCTCGGCCTGGTTTTGTCCTCTAATCGCGGTCAAACCTCCCTTTCAAGCTGCTGCTCAAGGTCAGACCTTCACCCAGCATTTCCAGGCCCCTCTGCGTCTTCATTTAACCCCAACGTTTTAGTGTGGCTCTCAGGCCCATGCCTGGAATACCCATCCCTCCTGCTGGACGTGGCCCCAACTACACACCAATCGCTTGGCCCCGCCCCTAAAGTGACCTCAGTCCCGGCTCCGCCCCCACTCGCCCCGCCCCCCGTTTGGCTCGTTTCTGTCTATACCTGAATCAGTATCAGTCAAAGTCCCATCACCTCCAGGTCCTGCCTTCTCTCTGATCTCACCTGGCCCTAGACCCACACCACGCTCACTCTCGGCTCCGCCCCTTCCCTGTGCCCATCAACAGCCGCGTCTAACCGTTCGTTCTCACATAAACTGCTCTTTTGGAGTCACTCAAGGCTCTGCCCACCCCCACTAACTGAACTTCCTGAACCCGTCCACTCGGTCCCTTAGCCCGGACTCCGCCCCCTCCCCGCGTTCTCACTAGACACCACACTCAACGGCCCCACCCCCTCTCCGCCCCACCCCTAAGCCCCGCCCTACATGGGCCCTCTAGGTCCCAGCCGGGCTCTCCGTCGCCCCACTCCCGGTCGCTCCAGGTCCCAAGTAGCCACGGGCTCACCGGTCCCTGCGCCCCGCAGTCCCACAGATGACGTTCATGTTCTCAAAGCGGATGCTGCTCACGCGGCCGTTCTCCAAGGCCCCGGGTAATTCGGCCTCCAACGCCTCCAGCACCTCCAGGTGGGTCAAGTCCTCCTCAGGCTGGGAAGTCAGAGAGAGAACCTCAGCCCATGACAGCGGGTTCACTCCGGGTTCGGAAGTCCCCACCCTAAACCCTACCTACAGAACTTGCCAGAATCCCAAGTGGCCTTTGAGGGGCAAGTATCACACCTGATCAAAGGGTCCTGTCCCTCTTGGCAGAGCAGGGAGGGCAGGCACCTCTCAGGTAGAAAGACATTTACTGTCATTCGGGGTCATTCTCCAAAAAAAGAAATCAATTCTCACCAAGTTGATTTGTCAAAAGTCAATGAACAGTTGGCTGAATGATTCACCAATTTGCCAGCTTTGCCAGTCTACTGAAAACCCCAGCAACCTGCATTAGATGGCAAGCTTTTAGCAGCTCTTGGAGATTTTTGAAAGGATTTAAGTCGCACACTTTTCCTTTTATATTCATATTAGCATTTTAAGGAATGTTCAGTTGTCAAAAACTAAGGATCCTAGGGGGTTTTGACTTCTGGTGAATCTAACATTCAGATATATATATTAATCACCATCACATTTTCAGTGTGTCAAAGGTAATGCCATGGTCATAGTGTATAAAAATGCTGAGGAATTAAACTGAAGTTGTGAAACTGGTCTCCTCCAGGAAGGGAAGTCTTGGGTGAGTGTATGGGAAGAGAGAGGGATTCATGTTCAAAGCCATAAAGAAGAGGAGCAATGGGGTGGGGATTTGTCCCTAAGACAACAGCAGCAATCTCTGTGTTGGGGTAAAGCCACTGGAACCAGCTGAGGGGCACACAGTAAATGTCCCATTCATGTCCACTCTGCTCACTCAACTTTTGCACGAGTGAGACCCTAATTGAGATACCTCCTCTGACTGAGGTCAGGGATTGCCAAAGGATTTGTACACTGAAGGACCAGTTCACTTGACCCTACACAAAACATGGGACATTGTTATGTTTTTGCTGTATTTGTAAAGCTTATGGAATTTCATCGTAGATGAATTAGCAGGACTCCCTTTGTCCTCAGTCTCCCTTCTCTTTGCCTTTTTAAAGAAATATTTTTTTATTTATTTATTTTTAGAAAGAGGGGAAGGGCAAGAGAAACATCAATTATAGTGTATAAAATTGCTGGGGAAAGAGGAGAGAGGGAAACATCAATGTGTGGTTGCCTCTCAAACGCCTCCTACTGGCCTGCAAGGAAGGCATGTGTCCTGACTGGGAATGGAACCAGTGACCCATTGGTTCACAGGCCAGCACTTAATCCATGGAGCCACACCAGCCAGGGTTCTTTGTGTTTCAATCTCTCCTCTTCTGTACCCCTTGTTCTCTCCATCTCTCTGCCCCTCTGGGATCAGCAGTGATACATTTGATGATTAAGTCTGACAAATTCAGTCAGCTTTCAGCAACCTGTCAAGGTGCCAAGCCCACAGCTGGTAAACCTCAGAGCCTAGATTCAGATTCTGTTCACCTGGCTCCATAACTTGCACTTTCCACCACCCCACCCAATGCCACAAGGGCTGGAGGCCACTCACCAAGGTCTCCATGCACAGGCAAAGGGGCTGGGCTGTGGGTGGCACGGGGAACTTCCGGATGCACGGGAGCTCTCGATCTAGAGCCTCATATTCTGCAAGGACCCGGCGCAGGTACTGCTTCCTGGGGAAAGAGTGGGCGGGCAAGGGCCTCCGAGGCCAGGGGTCACTGTCATTGCACTCCAGGGAGCTGAAGTCAGAAATCATGGTGCAGGGGATCACTCACGAGGTCTTGGTGGGCCTGCCCAGGCTCCAAGCCTGTGTCTCTTCTGAGGTCTCGAGGTCCACAAGGAGGGCTCCTGGGGATGGAGAACCCAGCGTCAGCTGCCCTGAGTACTCCTCACACATTATTCTGCTTAAATGGGCATCACCAAGTGCTGTCCATGCCACCCAAAGAATAGCTCTTGTTATTAAGCTACTGTCTCTCACACCCTACCACACCAGGCTCTACTAACCCTGTTTTGTCTCTGACAACTGGGTTCTTATTAGATCCCTATTAGGCTCTACATCAAGGTGGTGCTGGAGGGAGACTGAAAGGTGGGAGGAAGAAAAGGAAGGGACTTGACCTTTCTTTGCTTCCCATTGCAGTCACACCAGCCTCACTTCTTGACAGTGTCAGTTAGCTCCAGCAGCATCATCTGAATCCTGCCTGTGGTTTTTCCAACACTCTCAGAAACAGCCTTCTGATTGGAACTTGACTGATAACAGCTCTCAAATCTGGGCCGTTCTAGACAACCCCACAGTCAGCTAACTGGTTCTTTATGGCTAGTTGCTAGTTGTCCCACATAAGCCATTTTTCCCTTCTTCTACAGTCCTAGAGTTTTACCTGCACATGGCCACCCAGCTAGAGACAACAGTTACCAGGCTCCCTTGCAGCTAGTGTGGCCATGGGACCAAGTTCTCACCCACGATGGTAGAGGGAATGAGGATGCATCTTTGGAGTCATTTGCTTAAAAGAAGATTGTTCATCTACACTAGTTGCCCCTTCCCTTAAACCAGAATGTGGACGTGGACATAAGCCAACTTCAACCATGCTAAAGATGATGGAGCCACAATACAGAGGGAACCTGGGTCCCTGAGTCATCTGATGGGATGACATGTCTCATCCAATCTGGAACACCTGCTTCCCATTACACAGGAGAGAAATAAACTGTCTCCTTAATGCCATTGTGTTTGGGGGTCTCTTTGTTACAGCAGCTGAACCAAGTGGAGTGCAGCCCCTGACAGCCAGGAGCTGGCCTGGCATCCCAGTCTGGCTCTGGTAGCCACCTGTTGACATAAAGTTTCACAGAACACCAACATCTGTCAAGGCCACTCTGTGACCACGATGGACCAAGACAAAAATCAGATCACTCCAGAATCATGTCTCAACACAACAAAATGTGAACACTGCCCAAACCACAAAAATGACCAAACATCCCCCTCCTGGCTCAGAGCTGATGCTGCTTCTTTTCCAATCAGGGTGTTAGCTCCATTCACTTCTCATGCCTCCCTTTTCTGCCAGCATCTGGTCCAGAGCACAGCCCTGCTTCCCCAAACCCTCCCAAGGTCACCCAAGTCAGCCCAGCTCCTACACAATTTTTCTCTGACACCCCCTTACTCAGATGTT